AAAACCTGTGTCACCTCAGCCTAGCGCCTTCTCAGCAGTTGGTGTTAACCTCTCGCCAGGACTGACAATAAACAGGGAAAAGGAAGTGGTTCCTCTTTTGAATAGTCCATATAATGTTCAGTTTTTTTATTGTTAAACGAGAGGCAAGTTATATGTATTACTAGCCTGTAAATACGAGTTGCGTTGTGCTTGAAAATATGTCAGTTATTTCACAGAATTTTGGTTTCATGCAGTCTCTGTTTTACGGGCATTTGAATTTAATGGACATTGACAATATCTGACTCCCCCTCCCGCAATTAATTCGTTAAATCGAGGATATACTGTATGTATGTCTCCCCCCCTCCACCCCAGTAAGCTGATTTATCAATTGATGAATTTCCATAAAATCTGGTTCTACCACCATGCCATTGAATGTAGTATTGCAGAAGGGGACCGTAGATTTTTGCTTTTTCTAGGTAATGAAAATATACGAGTACTTACTCCACATTAGCGTATTATTTTTTTGTTGTTATTATTATTGTTATTATTTGTAGTACATTGCTTTATAAACTGTTAGGTGTGCCTGAAATTCCCAAAAGTCATCAATAACACAGAATAAATTCGTAAGATTATTGGACTGAAGGCCCTTTTCAGCAATAAATCCGATTACTATCCATTGCTGAAACAGATTTAACCCTATAGCCGTTATATGTGTTCAGTGACAGATAAGAAATAGCAATAAACATATTTTAAAGTTTTTTTATTTAGACGAAAGCTAAAAAAATTATAAAACGTCACAAAGGATCACAAATTCTAATACCTTTAGTCAGATTTGTCCCCTTCTTCGGAAGCTGTGGTTCAATGCAAGAGACTTTTGGCGCGAAGGAATATACTTACAGATATTTTTTGGAAAACAGCAATTTTAGCTTCATTAATAGGGACTCAACCTGTGGGGTATGCCTTTTCTTCGGAAAAAAAAATGCACAGAACGTGGGCTGACAAAACATTAAACTGTTACATACTAATATTTCAGCCCCATTCTAATGTCATAAAGTAACTCCTATTTTGACTGCAGCATTCAAAACAGTGGACTGTTATAACATTGAATTTTTTTGGGTGGAGCAGTCAATATAATCTAGTAGGAATCCACTTCATTTGGTCCTTTCTTTTGGCCCGGCCTTCATGTTGCAGGACAAACTGTGAATCTCTAGTTTTCATATTATACACAGAAGATGTTAATATTCAGTTTCCGCAAGTGAAGCAGATCTCGCACATGTATTTTTTAGCAGCTACAAGTCTTGCATGAAGACAGTGCATAATCGTAGCACATGTTTCGAAGTTTCAGGTGTTTCAGTAGACTTCTTTGAAGCCAAGTAGAACGTATGTACCCTTCTGCAATATCGTATCAGCTGTACATGAATGAAAACGCAATATTCCTATTACCGTACCCCCAATTTGGCCTAATCTGTTTCGTGGGAATTCACCCTGCCAGCGTAATTTGTATATTCTCCAAATATTCTAGACCTCTTAAACCTCTTTCTTATGTGTTGGTTGGAATTCCGAACGCTTTTTTCAGGACTGCACTAAGCACTAACCCCACTCGACATGCAAGTACTTTCCGAATGAAACATTGCTCCCCTGCCTTGTAAAGGTGGGAATACACGAGCGCCCCGCTGCTGTAATGCAACATAGATCGAACGGGATTCGCGACTTATTCGCTCGTGTGTACGTGACTTTGAACACGCGCAGCGCACACCTCAAATGCCGCGCAGTGATCCGGTTCCTGTCGGTTTTTCTGACGTACACAAAGGGATTCGTTGCCGCAGTGTGGTCGAGTTCGGTTGCCATTTGTCTCGTGAAGCACGCACGCCACAAACATGGAGTGGTCAGAAGAAGATATTTTGGGGCTCATAGAGGCATTCAGATCATTCCCTGTACTGTGGAATCCCGGAGAAAATGATTATTATAAAAAGAACAAAAAAAGTGACGCTTCCTCGTCTTCCATGGTCGTGTGGACGGCGAAGACAGAATGCAACTGAGGTGCTCGCGGCTTGCGCGCCCCATTCAGGTGGTTCGTTGCGTGCGCGTCGCTTGTTCGAGGTGCACCAAATCGTTCCGCGCATCGCTTGTAATGCCGCGTTACAGCCGAGGCGCGCTCGTGTATTCCCACCTTAAGGAAGCAGTCTTCAGAATAGCGGTTTACACAATCCAATAAGGAAGGTAGTAACAATGAAACAAAATGCCACATTTAGTAAGTACTTTTTTGCCCTTGGCACTACAGCCCCAGTGGGCATAGGCCTACCTCCATGAACTTCTCCGTTCACTTCGGTTTTTCTAGATCTTACACATTCGGTAGGACTCCTTGGGCGGGTGATCAGCTCGTCGCAAGGCCTCTACCTGTACACAAACACAGAAAAACGCACACACACAAACTAAACATCCATGCTCTGAGTGGGATTCGAACCGACGATCCCGGTTTCCAAGCGAGGGAAGACAGTACATGCCTTAGACCGCTGGGCTACCGTGACCGGCTAGTAACTACTTCACTCTTAGTAAATTCTTAATGCGATGAATGGGACTTATGAAGTAACATCATTTTCCAAGTGTCTGGTCTGAAGTCACTTCAGTCGCAAGTAAGCGAACAAAGCGCTGGCAGGAACCCACCTCCACCTCCCCCCTGCCTCCCCTTACGTAATCTCACCGCTCCTCAGAGCACGGTACAGCCGACTTTGGGAACCATTGATCTAGACTTATAGCGTCTCATGGTAGGATGATTGATGAAGGATGAATTGGAGGGCATTTGGAAGGAAGCGTAGTGTAATCTAGATACTACCCAAACGTTTTGGTTGGAGGGACTGAGGAAAGTCACGAAAAACCTCAATCACGATAGCCAATGTCCGGTCGAGATTCGAACAGAACACCTTCCAGATACAAGTCTATAGCGGTACCGCTACACCATTTCTTAGAGGTGGTAAGCCCCTCTGGCCTTTAAGGACTGCCTGTCCCTAATTATCGGAATTAGTAAGTGGATGAAGAGCCTCAATAACAACCTCCCCTTCCACCCTACATTCCCCATTGCATCCCTGACGTCAATCCCATGTACTTCATACCACTGAAGTATGTATATATGTGGCCACTAATAACGTATAATCCATAACAGACAGCGACTGTTCCAACTGAATCTAGATTTCCATGTGTCAGCGGTGTGCGCCCATAAAGGACAGTGATAGGGAATATTGGTACCATCGACCGTGGAGGCTTGAATAAGTCAGTTTGCATGGACGGAATATCATGCGTCGCCACATCAGCAAAATGGGTCGATTCCTGTTAACAGCTTCTTTGTAAAGTGGATGTTTGCGTCGAAGTCTGGGGAACGAAGAATGTCTCTGGTCTCTTCAGTAAATTGAATTGTGACGCAGTTTAAGTAACTGCGCGTTTTAAACTCTTCTGTGGAATAAAATTGATTATATGTAATAATAAAGCATTGGCTAAAAGAGATATTTAATTTTCAGATTCAATCTCGAAACTTGCAGACTTCTTCATTAATATCCCTGCCTCTTATTCGGGCGATTGGGAATCGATACGTATGATTATCTTGTTTGACATATTGCAGATATACCAGCTGCTAACACATCCCGGAGTTTTGCTGTTAATTCATCTGTTGCACATAAATGAATGTTTCCTCCTTCTTCTAACCCTCTCCTTTCATTCTTCGTGTTCTGCCATCTCACTTTCCCTTTTCAAGAGAAAAGAGCTTGGTATACTGGTTATTTTGTACCTAGTAGTATCCTTTTCGAATCTCCACTTAGGTTACCGGCTGTGTTGACTGGTGTTCGTGGTTTCCTTCAGTATAGCTAATGAATGTAGTAGTTATATAGTTATTTTTCCCCCTTGGCACTACAGCCCCAGTGGGTCTAGGCCTACCTCCATGAACTTCTCCGTTCACTTCGGTTTTTCTAGATCTAACACATTCGGTAGGACTCCTTTGATCAGCTCTTCGCAAGGCCTCTACCTGTACACAAACACAGAAAAACGCACACACAAACTAAACATCCATGCCCTGAGTGGGATTCGAACGCACGATCCCGGTTTCCAAGCGAGCGAAGACAGTACTTGCCTTAGACCGCTCGGCTACCGTGACCGGCAGTTATATAGTTATAGTACTTTGAAATTGGTTGCAAATGCCTAAATTCTTACGTCTTTTCATTTGATACTAGCTGCAAGAACCCGGCCTTGCTGGGGTGAAGTTATCCTCTACGTTGTGACTGAAAACGGCGCACTGAAATACACTTTTATACACAGTGTGTCCAGGTTCTGTTACGACTGTGTTCGTTAAAAATGCAAGACATGAATTATTTTCAAAATTTCACTCTTTTTATTCAAAATAGTCTCCTTCTGAATCAATACATAGCTGGAATCGATTGAAAAGTTTTCGAAAACAGTGACTATACTCCTTTTGTGGAATCGCATTTAAAACTGCGGTACATTCCCTTTGAATGTCCTGCATGGTGTCGTGACGGTCTCCTTTCATCGCCAACTTAACTTTTGGGAACAACCAGAAATCTGTTGGAGCCAAATCTGGCGAATACGGAGGATGATCAAGGACTGTGATCCCTTTTCTGGCCAAAAAAATTGTGAACGATCTTCGATTTGTGGGGTGGGGCATTGTCATGGAGGAGCGACCAGGAAGCTTGCTCCCGATATTCAAGTCGAATTCGAAGAATTCTCACCAACGAACGGCTGAGGACTCCGAGATAATAATCAGAATTCACTGGTTGACCTTCTGGCAGAAATTCCTTGTAAATGATTCCTTTGGAATCGAAGAAAACTATTAGCAGTGTCTTTACTCGACTCCTTTGCATGCGCAATTTCTTTGGTTTCGGCTTCTTTGTGCTCAACCACGCTGCACTCTGCCACTTTGTGAGAGGCTCATATTATACTAGCAGGAAATTTCTTGGTGAGCAGAACAGCCATCAGATTTTGTTACCTGTTCAGATGACTTAATGTTGCTTTTGTTGCAGGCTGAGATCTGGAGCGTCTTCATTGCCATCCTACGGAAAAGTGTACGCAATCTTCAGGCCTGCACAGATGTGGGGCTCATCGAACATGTGCTGGCCAGACTGTCCCAAGCCGAGACTGTTGTGGCAGGTGAGCTCCTCAGTCATAGTAGGTGAATACCGGTACATTGCGTTAAAATAGACCACAGCAACTCCCTCTCACGTCCCAGTAGTATCTGACGAAAAATATACCTACATAGGTCTGTCAATTGGAGAATTTGTGGCAGTGTTTGTAACTGTAGCTTTTGTTCTTCTTTGGCGTTAAAAATTCAGATTAAAAACTTCTGATTCTGAGAATTAAATGTTGCTGTGCTCTGATGAAAATCACATACCTTTTCTCTATATTCATAAATATTGTAGTATAGGTTGGAGTACCAACTGACTGTAAAATGTGCCATGAACATCATGCCATTTTTGATCTCATCGTAGCACATTTTATTTCCCTGTATTAAACAGCATCAACATGAAGATCATACGAATTTGTTATGTGGAAACATCGCCAGTTCCTTTCATGAGGTTCTGTATGTTCTCTTATGTATGTTGGAAAAGTTTACATTTTTTCATTAAGGTCTCTTTATAGGAAAATGGTAGGTAGTGTGATGGTGAGCATGCATCATAATTTGATGTGGTGGTGGTAATTCAGGAAGTTAGTATAATGACATTTTATAAAAACATCTATTATAAATATATTTAGTATTAAGTTGTAGAATATCTGACCCTTAGGAACCGAAAAGTGTGCTCATTTTGCCTCAAATGTTTGTTTGGATTTCAGTTTGATGTTGTAATGTTTGCTTCTCTTTAAAAAGCATATTAGTATATCTTCATTCATCAGTAATCTGTCAGACGACAGGTCCACAGTCTCTTTCTAAACGGTTCCTCCACCTAATGCGATCTAGAGCTTTCTCCTCCAAATGAGAATATCGTCTTCTGTCCCCAAGGTCATCCAGCATCTTCTTACGTCTTCTTCCTCGTCTTCTGGTCACTTCTATCTGCCCCTCTATCTTTCCTTCAATAACTTATTTTAGAAGGTAGTTACTGCATAAGATATGATCATTCCAATTAGCCTACTGTTTTCTTATTTCGTGCAGGATATTCCTCTGCTCACTGACTCTAAATAACACTTCTTCATTTCTCACATAATCGGTCCAATGAATCTTCTCCATCCTTCTCCAACACCACATTTCGAAGCTTTCCATGTGTTTCTGATGCCCTAAGTGTCGAAATTTCAGCCCCATACAAAGCCATGCTCCAAATGTAGCATTTTGTATGGTTAGCAAAATACACGGTGTCTCCAGGATCCGTTAGGACTAGTTTTTTTTTAATTTGGCCTGCAGTGCCATCTGTTAGCGAGTTGTGGCATTAAGATTCTTGAAGTTTCAGCGCAAGCATTGCTGCATCATGTGTTCTGACCGTGAATGTAACAGTACTGTTCTGACGCTCGTCGGAAAATGGCGGTGGAGAGAATCTGAGCAATGTATGAGCTTTGTAATCACTCTGGTAAACGCTCTTGTTTTCTGCATCCATTTTCACTAATTTTAATTGCTGCTTCAGCAGTTCTTCCCCTTTCCATGTTTTAATCAACTCTGCTCATCAGCTGGCTTTCAGAAAATTTATTTTCAGGACCATATTTCATCTCTAGTGCAATAAAATTCAGCAAGTTTTTGCAAAAATAGAACATAGAAGCGGGCAGAGTGGACAGACTTTTCAGAAGCAGATAACAACTAGTGACCCTTAGCATATCTGTGCCTGTATTCAGCTACTGCCTAGTTCTTTTTCAGCACCACCAGCTAGTAGTAATCAGTCCCTGCCTATGGGGATTTTGCAGTCTCAGTGCCCCCTGTCCTTCACTCTTGAGGCTGGTCTCAGAGAGAGAGAATTCACATGGACATTTTTCTTGGTGTGGATAAGAAGCCTTTATCTTTTGGGTGCTATGCCTTGTTTCTACCTGCACACAAACAGACTTGATACCTACTCCCTAGAGCTCATTAGATGAACTTAGCCCTTATCACTAATCACTGAAGCTGATCAGAGGATGGTATATGCAGTGTATGAAAAATGTCTGAAATCCAAAATGGGAGATATCAGCAAGAGTTTAACCACAGATAGTGATGTTGTAATTTAAAATCATAAGCAGAGCTCAGGAGATCAAAAGTTCTAAGTTGCTGTGGTGAATACAATTTTAATAAAGTTACCCTGATAACCATTTTATGGGAGGGGGGGCATGCAATAGCGTAGTTGGTTGAGGTACTATGTTACAAGTCTGGAGGTCATGGGTTCAGGTCCCAATGTTGATTTTTTCAATTTACTAATCCTCCCTTCCCTGGGGTCGACTCAGCCTCTAACAGAAATGAGTACCAGGAATCTTCCTGGGGTTGAAGGGTGGCCAGCGCATAAGGCTGACAACCTCACTGCCATCTGTGAGCCAATTGCCTAGAGAAAATGTGGGAGCCTAGATGTCTCACAACCCTATGGACCTTCACAGCCTGTTAACCTTACCATGTTATGGCGAAGTATAAATACATATATGTTTGGATATACTTTGACATTGCTTATAATTTTGGAAAACATTTCTTGATGGTAATTATGGATAGGACCAGAAGGTGGCAGCAATAAAAGGCAGTGAGAGATACTTGTGCTTTGGTCACTGCTGTGGCCTCAACCTTTGCCGATATGAAGTTATCTTTAGGTAACAGCGTTGCTTGTTCTGTGGAGCAGTGTTTCCAAAACTTGTCAAGTTCATACCATAAATACTGAGTGTATGGCCTCCAAGTGCCTCTCAAGGGCTCTAATGTGTAACAGTGGATCAGTGAAAGCGTTTTCTTTTGGAACCATAACTAATGATGCGGACTGTTAAAGTCTGCATCTACAATTCAGACAGACCATTCTGTCTATTCTGTCATGCAGTAATCAGAGTCATCAGTAGTTATGGATAGGACCAGAAGATGGCAGCAATAAACAACAGTTCGAGATGCCTGTTCTTGAGTCAGTATTGTCTGTGTTGCTGGTTTTGACATTTGCCAGAAAGGTGTGCTACATTGCCTACGTGTTCAGTGAGATTGTTGTTTTGAAGTGTCCATCAAGGGAATGTAGCTAGAGATCCATATTTAAGGCTAAGGCTTTCTGTTCTGTCCTGTTAAGAACACAACCTGAAGATGGGAGTGATAAATGAAAGTCAGAGGTACCTGTGCTTCAAGCAGTATTGCATTCTTGACCTTTGCCAGGAAAGGTAACACAGGAAGGATTATCAGTGGAAAGTGTAGCTTGAGATGGTAATTGTCAAATTTTCCTCTTGACATTTCAACAGGCTTTATAGTAGTTGTATATACAAGTAAATACTCCACCTGAAGAGAACAACACATTGTGGGCACTTTAACTTGGTGGGATATAAGTAGGAATGATGCCTGAGAATCATGCCAGTTAATGTCTTTCTTCTGAACAAAGAAAGTTTATTTATCCTGTTATTTGTTTCTTCTCCATAGTGTATCTTATTTTGAATGTAATTGTTTAATCCAAGTAAACAGAAAATGTGTTTATTATATTAATTTATGCTATGTTAGTTACAGACATGATTTCATTTTTTGCAATATGCAATGCCATATCATACTGGCATCTTTTACATTATTAAAAGAATGTACTGAATATGGGAGTAAAATAGAAGTTGTTTAAAGATAAACCTTTTATTTGAACAGGTATTTCTATTTTGTTACACATTTGTCAGAAGATTTACTCTCTCAAGTTTATGCCTTTTTATCTGGAAAAAAGACACCTAAGGATTATGTGTTTTCCATTTTGTGTTGACATTTATAGACTCTTCGAGAGACTTAGTACAGCTGTCAAAAGTCAGTTTATTTTCCAGTATAAAACAGATCCTGACAAATAATTAAAAGACACATACATTACAATTTATGGAGTGCCATGTGTAACAGTCAGAAAACTACATTCCCATCTAATGTTGGCTGAGTTTGACAATTTCATAATTAAATCAAAATCTGTTTGACATTGTGTTGTAGTGGAGTCTATTACGATAATGGATGTCAGGGGTCAAAGTTTGTTGTGAAAATGTGGTTAAAATATAATGTGACAGGAGTGTTTTATGAAGTCTCTGAAAATGACACATTGTGCATCCATTTTCTGCATTTTGTTTTAGTAGAATGACGAGTTCATCAAATCTAGCTGAATCTGCTAAGCCTTGAATGTGGTGGTTGGTTAATCTGGAGTGGAGCCTGAACAAAATAAAGGAGTGGGTTTAGCAAATGTTGTTTTGTTGATATGAGGGGGGTACCTGTTGTGCTTTAAAGTGGCTCATGTACTTAATGTGATGGGACGGTACTTGATTGGTGACTGCATTGTAAATAATTTAGTTTTTCTGTTTTTCTAGATCTTTTGATAGAGATGCTGGGAGTTCTGGCGAGCTACAGCATCACTGTGAAAGAGCTGAAGCTGCTTTTTGGAGCAATGAAAGCTATCAATGGAAAATGGGTGAGCATTTAAATTTGATATATGATTTCTTTGTCATAGGAACTGAAATGTTTAAAACATACATTATTAAGAAAAGGAATAGATTCCTTTAGTTTGTTTAATTTATTTAATTTTATTAATGTGTTAAAGACAATAAAGTTGCTGTCCATGAAGTAACTTTTTTGTCTGTTGTAAACAGGAGATGCAATAGAGAGCTGTGGTGGTTCAGTTAGGAATGTGATTGATCTGAAGCCAATTTCTGTCCGGGTTGTTATGATTTTTCTCTTACTGTTCACCTCGAGAATGATTAGGGCTGAATCAGCTGTTTTATGCCAAGAGAAGTTATGAGAGCACAAGTCTAATTAATCACCTCCATCAGGTGCCTATGGCTGACAGTGGGTGGTCACTTCAGCTTAGGGGTTGGGCAAGAGGTCATAGTTCTTCACCATTAAAGACCTATGTTTAGAAATATTACAAGATGCCATTGTAATGGAAGGATGTGAAAACATGAGAGAGAAAATGAAAGATATGAAAGTTTTGTTAGAGAACCTCAAAGAGAGAAACCTTTTGGAAGATGTGTATAGGTAAGGAGTTAATATTACAGTGGATCAGAGAGAAATAGGTTGTAAAAGTAAACTGGATTGAGTTGGTTTGTGAAAGGCTGTTGTGAACATGGTGATGAGCTATGGATTGTATAAATGTGGGAAAAGTCTGGACCAGCTGAACAAGTTAGCACCTTTCCAAAGAATGCCCTACACCTTGAAATTAGTTAATTTAGTTTAAAGGAGTCTTGTTAACTGTTATGTTTCCTGTAATAAGGGAGGCTGTCCAGACTAATTTCCACTTTGTTTGAAGCCCATATTAGCATAGTATATGTTGTACATACTCCTTGTTGTTTCATTCTGCTTACTAAACACAGTTCTCATAATTATAATGAACTATGAATATTAACTGTTATAGTATCAACATAGCAACTGATGCAACTACAGTGATGTAGGTGCTTACAGTGATGTAATTTGCAAAATGGTTTGATGTAGGGAATCCAGCAACTACAACAATGTGTTATGTCTGTGTACTTAATTAATGAAGTTCAAATTAATATTGCAGTCAAATATAAATAGGGTAGCACGTACATTGGTAAGTAATTTAATATCAGTGTGTTTTAATGAATTGTTGAGATAAATGTATAATGTTGAATTGTTTGTGCTTGGTAATATATCACATCCTCCTTTGAATTTCAAAATTGAATGATCTGGAAATAAAACACATTCATATATCAACATTTTGCTGGTTGCCTTTATTTATGTGCTCCTATCTGTCAACTTGGGAACTTCTTGTGTTCCATCTGTTGTAGCATTAGCATGCTGTGCAATAAAGCTAGGAATTTATGATCATTAAATACAGAAGGACAACAGAAGTGCTTCTCAAACTTCTTGGTCCTTGGACCCTTTCTTAGTGAGAGAGAGAATCCACAGATCACATGCTCTTCCATCTCCATATTGCTGCCATGGAACAAACAATAAGAATGATGCTGAATTCTCAGACACACAAAAGAAGTGACTCATGTCTTGTTCTAGGATTTAGATTTTCAGTGCCATTCCCATCTTTCTTCTGTTATTGATTTTCAGAAATTTGAACCATTTCATAGTTTAACTGCAGAACCCCTGTTGTTATAACCACACTTTTAGAACTACGGATCCATAGTTTCCTCATACCTGCTGCCTGTGTGCTACTCACTGTGCACATCAGCTATTCGTTGCTCATAGTTTATGCTGTAAGAACAAAATAGGCATTCACGTCACTGATTCACTTGTTTACATCTGAAGGCATTTAATTGATTTAAGTCAAATTTTACACAAAATTGGAATTGGTATTTTAAGTATGGCATTTACAGGCATGAAGCAGATAATGGAATTCCTGAATTGTGAGAATGCTTACAGCTCAATAACTAGTTGAATTGTTTCCTCTCATTTTGATTTTTCCTTCTCCCTGCGTTTTTCTTCTTCACTTACTTCAAGTTGCAGATATTTCAGTCTTTTGCTCTTTCTGTGGAATCCTCTTGTTCACTGTTTCTTAAGAAATACTGTATTTATTATACCAAAAAATTACTGTGAAATTCTTCGTAGTTGTTTGTATGCCTAGTATGAGAAATTTTTATGTGCAAGACCTTGTGTCCTATATACATCTTACCCTAAATGCTTCAGATATTTCTGGTCCAGTCCATAAAATCAGTACTACTTCTGTTCCAGGAAACTGTCTCTTCCATATACAGTTGGTAGTTATTAAAGTTATTTCAATTTAATTAGTAATGCTATACGTTTTCTTGCTAGTCTTCACTGTCAAGCCGCATACTTTCTGGCCAGTTGTGGCTACTTATGAGCTCATTAGTATAGCAAATGACAGTTCAGAAATTCTCTGAAAGATCTTCACATCTGAAAGGGGAGATCATGTTGGAATTTTTAACCTGGGAGGGCATCTTCTCCATGAGTTTATTCATAACGATGAGTGTACAAAAAGGTGCAAGGAGATGCTTGCCCGTCTGTTGGAGATAATTGATCCGAAACATCCAGGAATGAGGAGAAGCTTTTCATAACAGTTCCATGGCATATACTTGTATACTAGCAACACACCACGCATGGCTCTGTGGTGCTTTCCACCCTTCTTGCTGTGCACAGTGCAGTTTATACCTCTTCCCACACAAGTAGTGTCTGAAGGGCTGTTATATGAAGGATGCAACTTAAACTGAAGTGACTTCAAAGACTGTTTTACAGGGAGTCATATGCTGTAGCTCTCAGCGATGTTTTATATACCTGTATCAATGCCAGCTGAAGTCTTTGGCTGCTGAAGAACTATAATTTGAAGGCATCAGTGTCTAAAGGCTTAATTGAGCCATATTTGAGATATTCTTGTCCTGGAATATTTTGATGCCATCATGAATCACAGGAAATGTCTAATTCAAACATTTTGCAAAATACATATGTAGAAGATAATTTTTTCTTTATTTCTTTCTTTCTTTCTTTCTTTCTTCCTTACTTCATTTCTTTCATGTTATGTATCCTGTTATGTATGTAGATTTAGTGGTTTTTATGCAGTCACACAACATGTTGATCCTGTTGTATGTAATAAGTAATTGAATTGAATTCATCATTAGATCAGTCAGTTTATTGAACACTACATGTTTTGGTCATGGTTTACCATCATCAGGTGTGTATGTATATAATCATAAATATGTTGTGATATACGAGTATTGTTGAATGTGTAATCAAAATAGATACAGTGTGGTCATATAGTTATTCTATTCTTAAGACTCATTAAGCATATCGAGACAAATAATATGTTGGCCCAAGAACAGTATGTTTTCAGGTCTCATTCTTCAACTAAGCAGGCAGCCATTTCATTGATAGATAGCATCATACACGCTATGAATAATAAGTTAATGGTAGGAGGTATATTTTGTGATCTTCAGAAAGCGTTTGACTGTCAATCACAAAATATTATTGGACAAGTTAATATTTTATGGAATAGAAGGTAAATTTGAAACACTCATAGAATCTTATCTAATGGATAGATATCAAAAAGTTGTAATAGATAACAGATTTGACTGCAGAAGCTCTTCTGAATGGGAAGTCATTAAGTGCCGTGTTCCTCAAGGATCAATCCTTGGCCTGCTTTTTTTCCTACTTTATATTAATGACTTACCTTCAGTAATCAACAAAAACAATAATATAGCACATTTTGTAGATGACACGAGTATTATAGTAACTGACACAAACAAGCTAAATTTTGAAACTAATCTTAATCAAACTCTTAAAGACATTGATGCATGGTTTAATGCTAATTTGCTCACTTTGAATTTTAACAAATGACAATATTTTGAATTTCGTTCCATGAATTATTATAACATTACTTTCAAAATTGTAGATGATCAAATTAAATTAATCAAGGCGTCAGAAACAAAATTTTTAGGTTTAATCATTAATGATACCCTCACATGGAAACAACATATTGACTATGTTATCAATAAAAATTTAAGGTCATGTTACGCATTGAGAAATATAAAGCATTTTATTCCATTAGATTCATTAAAGTCAATTTATTTTGCCCACATACATTCAATCTTAAGCTATGGCATATTTTTTTGGGGTGGCGCTTCCTGTGCTGGCAATGTTTTTATACTACAAAAGAAGGCTATTAGAATTATCATGAGTTCTGATTCAGGAGTGTCTTGTAGACATTTATTTGAGAAGCTTGAAATAATGACATTCTATTCTCAATTCATGTACTCATTAATTTTATTTACGATTAATAATAACCATCTTTTCAATTCTATTAATGAGGTTCACAAGTATAAAACCGGATCTTTTAATAATCTCTGTTTACCTTCTGTAAACTTAACAAAATACAGTAAGGGTGCATATATAGCAGGTATTAAAGCCTTTAATCATTTACCTCAAGCTTTAAAAGGGTTGATTTCTGACATGCTAAATTTTAAGAGAACACTGAAGAGATTTTTACTTCATCACTCCTTTTATTCTATGAAAGAATACCATCAACATAAGTGGTTATAATATGCAAACGTATTATAGCTTAACAATTTTAATATAATTTTAGTCTAGAAATCTGCAGCAGTCCTATTTAAGACATTAGGAGCAACTATTGCACTGGATTAATGAATTTGAATATAGAAATTAGAATTTTAATAGTTTTAAATGTGTTTTGAAGTATATACTGTATGGATCTATGATCTAAATATCTAAATATGATTATAATGATGATGATGATATAAACATAATGGGTCATAGGTGTATAATTTTGTGACTGTATTTGATTTAGTTAATATAGATAATTTATATGAAATGGTGTAAATACAAGTTTTATAATAAGTTATTTTTAAAGTATGTCTATTAACTGATATCTTATTAAATTCTTTTATCTGATAATATTATTTATATTTATAGATTGATGTAAGTGACTTTGTTTGATTGACTCATGCAATTTTGTATATGCATGTTGATGTATCTGTATTCAGAAGGAACATTTCCACATCCTGGTTTGTTAACCTTTATGGATATATATGGAAAATAAAATGAAATGAAGCATCCTTTTTTTTCTGCATCATTTCTCATAATTGTTTCAGTCTGATCAAAATTTACTGATATTTGGAGTGACATACTGCCCCCATTTTCAGGGTCAAAGAATTAGCTGAGAAAGCACAAAGCAGAAACAAAGAGTTGGTAATCTATTGCACTACAACACTACAAGGCATCACATCACGTTTGCCACCAAAAAAACTTGAAATGTGTCATAATTTATATTTGTTAATTTGTCTTTCTTGAATGTGGATATATATGGAGATGAGATGTATAATTGAACACGTATGGCAGAATATGCTTTATTGTCAGCGATTATATTTATACTGTTCTTTTCAGCCAAGACATTCAGCTAAGCTGTTGAATGTTCTTCGTCAGATGCCACAAAGAAATGGACCTGACGTTTTCTTCAGCTTTCCAGGGCGGAAAGGTTCTGTAAGTTGACGTTGGAATCTCACTCTCTTATAGATAGTTTTTAAGCTGTATTGGAATTTTTTCTTCCTTCTTAATATATCTGTAACATAAATTGTACTGTTGATGTGCCTAAACTAGTGGCCACAGGGAAATGCATGAGCTACCCCAGGAACCTGACTCATTAACTGTTTCTAAGTAGTTTTACCCTCTTGCCCATGTATATATCCTTCCAAGGACATAATGTTTGCCTTTTAAGAAGGGTGCAGTTGCCCTCTAACTTAGTGAAGGTTATATAACTACAGCTTCAATTTAATTAGTTGATTGTTGTTGCACATCTTCTACACATGTGGAGGAGCAAGTCTGTTCTACATATTACTGCTGGTGTCATCGGGAAGATCGGGAAGAATGAGTCACTAAACATACTTCATGTGTTATGAATAATGAGCATCATACTGGAGTTAAATCTAAGCCATATTGTTATTAATATTTTATATTCTTCTCTGCAGGCTGTTGTATTGCCACCCCTTGCTCGGTGGCCATATGAGAATGGATTTACTTTCACCACCTGGTTCCGTCTGGACCCAATAAATTCCGTCAACATTGAGAGGGAGAAGCCGTATTTGTATTGGTACTACTGTCACTACCTGTAGTGTTTGTATAATGCATGAATTGATGAACTTTATGCTTAAAGCAAATGAAACAGTTTACTATGTACAATATTTATGGTCATGGGCATAGGCTATGTGTGTGTGTGTGCATGCATGTGGGCAGGTGGGTGAGTGGACTTCAGTGACATTTTATCAGTGCTGTAATAGGATGCATGTTCAAACCTGTTTTTCTCTTTGAATATCATAATGAATTCAGTTTATTTTGACAGTTACTTCTGTATTTATTGTGCACTGTAATTAAAATTGGAAGTGTACAGCTTGTGGGTGCTTCTTAACCCTGGGAGATTACGTTTTCTTTTTCGCAGCTTCAAGACCAGCAAAGGGGTAGGCTATTCAGCACATTTTGTTGGAAACTGTCTTGTGTTGACATCAATGAAAGTGAAGGGGAAAGGATTCCAGCACTGTGTGAAGTATGAATTTCAGCCCAGAAAGGTCAGTTTGCTAGAATGTAACTTGTTAGCTTGCTATTTGGCTTGTAATTACAAATATCGCTCTGCCTTCCACCCTCATGTTGTTGCATCATTTCTATCTTATGCAAGTCAAGAGATAAAAAGCATCCAATCTGTCAACCTTATATACAATAGAAGTATTGATTTGTTTTGTACTGCTTAACAAGGAAAGATTATATGAAGAAAAACTGTTGCATCTCCTAGGTGAAACAGAAAATGTAGAAAATCCTTCATTGTAATCCAGTTTATGATGAATATAAATTTGATTATAATATGAAAGAGATATGAGCTTGAATAGTATTATGTGACAGTGTGAGATAGTTGTGTCACCAGAGTCATAAAGTCAGTGTAATTAGAACTGAAAGTGTTTCTTTCTTCTTTATATCTTTGCATTCATTTTTTGATCAAATATCAAGTTTTCACTGAAGAATTCACAACACTGTTATAATATTAATTCTTGTAGCGTTATACGGTCTGAATATTTCTTGAACTGTAAACCTAAAGACTGATATATTATTTTGAAAGTTTGAAGTTTATAATTAAAGATTTTTTTGTGCTTTATAGTTTTATTTATAAATGTGCATATCTTATGTAGTAGAATCTTCAATAAAAAGTGTTTTCAGCATCTTATACAGCACGTATGGCTGAATCTCTTTCATTGTTTTCTTACTTGTTCCAGACAAATGTTTGAGTATTAGCTTGAAATAAACTATGATCACTTCCCTGCAGTGAGTCTCTGGTTTACTTAGCATAATCACCCTCTTATCTCACTTGATGCTGCACTTGTTACACCATCACTGAATAATCTGAAGCCAGCTTTGTACCTAATTATGAAGATGAAAATATTCCCTTCTTATGTATACCAGTAATTTTTCTGGCTGAAAACAGAGTTCAGTGCACTCATAAAGAGAAATTGTCATATGTGAAAATAAAAAACAGAACATGTGAATGTGGGTACATGAAACAGTTTATACGTTGCAGTCAGACTAGGAATGAAATGTTTGATGAATAGCACTCAGAAGATTAAACAGTATTTTCTTTTCTTTTCAGTGGTACATGATTGCTATTGTGTACATCTACAATAGGTGGACAAAAAGTGAAATCAAATGTCTTGTTAATGGACAGCTGGCTTCTAGCACAGAAATGGCCTGGTTTGTTTCTACAAATGATGTAAGTACTAAGGACTTAATATAAGTTATGTTTTCAGAAAATGTCAGTGTCTGATTACATCTTCTTGCATTTTTAATTTTCACTCTCTCTGAAGATGCTCATCACTTCATGAGTAACAGAATTCTGAATCTAACGTCCTACTCTTGTCTGTTTTGCCAGTCATCCTTGTGAAGTCCTGTGGATTTCATTGCTTTATCCACTTCAGCTTCTTCTGAATACCCATTGTTTATTCCCTTCATCATGTCTCTGGTCTTAAAATTTTCTTGTGAATTCAGTAAACAAGTGCAGACCATCATATCATTTCTTCCTACCACTGTCATTTTAACTTTGTGTTAATACATCATAAATATCCCACAAAACAGGTACACCAGTTTGGTGCAAGAGGAGAAAATCTATATTATGCATATTGGTCACTAAATATGCTTGAATGGAGTGTCTCCATAAATAAACAAAATCTGTTTAAAGATTTCTTCAGTTAGAATGAAAGTTACCCCACTGAAATTGCTGGTATTTTGAACCAAAGAAATCATAAATTATTCACAGTCTAGTTAATGTAATTGAAAGCCATAGCATACAGGCTACAAACAGTTCTAACCAAGATGTCATCCACAATTAGGGAGGACAGAAACTTCTTATTTTCCATGCTCTTTGGTTAAAATTTTGGTTTAAATGGCTAACTGCAGACAATAAGATTTTGGAGGTCAGCATTTATATTCAAATTTACAGAACCCTTGATAGGGTACAGTATGGGATTCTCTGGATAATATCAGTCTCTCACATATGGAACTATCACAGTTTTATATTGCTACATAATGAAAAACTCTGATGATAGAGACAGTTTCAGTGTCATTGCTTGTGGGAAATATATATGTGTAGATGTTTCCTACCAGAAGGTATGCAGCAGTTGGAGTAAACACTTTTTCACAGTCCATGCAAATTCAACAGAAATTGCATGACAGTTTTGTATATGCAGTTTCTTCAGTATATAGTATGTGAAAGAGTGAAATTACATATAACTGAAAGTGTGAAGTTACATATAATATATTTGTTGGTGAGTTCTAAAGATATATTGTGTATGTTTTACAATTTTATTTTAGCCTTTTGACAAATGTTACATTGGTGCTACTCCAGAACTGGATGAAGAACGGGTATTCTGTGGTCAGATGTCAGCCATCTATTTGTTCAGTGAAGCGCTTACAACACATCAAATCTGTGCCATGCATAGGTTAGGTCCTGGATACAAAGTAAGTGCCCCTATGATTAGGGCATGGTTTCTATCAGGGAAAGAACAAGGTCTTTGAAAAGATTGGGTGGGGAGGAACTGCTGCTGGTAACAAGTAAAGAACAGAAAGTAAGCCACAATAGGCTTCTGTTATTTTCATGTTATTTCTTGGAGCATTTATCAACTTGAAGTAAATTATGTTTTGTAATCATGAAGTGGGCCTTGTATATGTGTATTGTGGCTGAAAGTGGTGACGAAGATATTACAGATGAAGTATAGTTTGTGATTTGCTAATATTTCATAATAGGATGATGTAAGAATCTAAATGTTTACAGAGTATATTTCCAGACTTGTTTAAACTAAACTGTTTCTGAAATAAACGTATCACAGTAATTTAATGCCAATCTTTTTATATAGTTTTTATAATGAAGTGACAAGCCCTGTTAAAGCTGTTTTACATGTTTTATGTAATTGAAGTCTTGTTCCTAAAATTGTGTTAGTTACATTGTAACTGTTTTTCAAGTGTTCAGGCAAATTCTTCAGTATGTAGTCATACTGTTTTGTTCTTTTGTTTCTTAGATTATTTTATACTGATGTATCAGTTGTAGAAGCTATGTTAAATTAGGTGATAAATGGCATATTGATTAAGAAGGGTGAGTTGGGAAGAGCATCATACTCGTTAATTCTGTTTGGAATAATGAAGAATTGCCCGAGCAGCGGACATAGTCTATTATCTCACCTATTTACAACAAGGGTGATAAAACTGTTATAGAAATTACTATAGAGGCATGTGACGGTTGTCAACTTCATACAAACTTCCGTCTGATATCATTCTCTGAAGGTGAGGTCCATATGTAGACAAAATTATTTGAGATCATAATTGTTAGTTTCAGTGTCATAGATTGATCAGTTACTGATAAGATTTTTTCATTCATCAGATACTGGAGAAAAAATGGGAGTACAATGAGAAAGTAGAAGAAAGCAGTCTTCTGGGATTTGGCACCGTGTATATGTGGTGTTAACCGACGTTTCGGAGGAACGTATCGCCCCCATCTTCAGGGTAGAAGAAAAAGTATAAGAAAACTGCAAGCGACAACACCGTGAGAAACACCGTCGGTTAACACCACATATACACGGTGCCAAATCCCAGAAGACTGCTTTCTTCTACTTTCTCATTGTACTCCCATTTTTTCTCCAGTATCTGATGAATGAAAAAATCTTATCAGTAACTGATCAATCTATGACACTGAAACTAACAATTATGATCTCAAATAATTTTGTCTACATATGGACCTCACCTTCAGAGAATGATATCAGACGGAAGTTTGTATGAANTGAAGTCCATGTACACATATGTGTCCACTTTCTGTTAGGACTGTGTTCAGTAAAAATACATTACGTGAATTATTTTCAAAATTTCGCTCCTTTTATTCAAAATAGTCTCCTTCTGAATCACTACATAGCTGGAATCGATTGAAAAGTTTTGAAAACAGTCACTATACTTCTTTTGTGGAATCACATTTAAAACTGCGGTGGATTCCCTTTGAATGTCCTGGATGGTGTTCTGATGGTCTCCTTTCATCGCCAACTTAACTTTTGGGAACAACCAGAAATCTGCTGGAGCCAAATCTGGTGAATACGGAAGATGATCAAAGACTGTGATCACTTTTCGGGCCAAAAAATTGTGCACCATCTTCAATTTGTTGGGTGAGGCATTGTGGTGGAGGAGCGACCAGGAACCTTGCTCTCAATATTCAGGTCGAATTCAAAGAGTTCTCGCCCACAAACGATTGAGGACTCCAAGATAATAATCAGAATTCACTGTTTGACCTTCTGGCAGAAATTCCTTGTGAATGATTCCTTTGGAATTGAAGAAAACTGTTAGCAGTGTCTTTACTCGACTTTTGCACGTGCACTTTCTTTGGTTTCTCCTTCTTTGGGCTCAACCACGCTGCACTCTGCTGCTTTGTGAGAGGCTCATATTGAAAACACCATGTCTCGTCACCAGTAACAATCAATTTTGTAAATTTTGTATCACTTAGGACTGACTGTAACATGTCTTTGCAGTGTTCCACTCTGGCATGTTTCTCATCGCCTGACAGCACGTTTGGTACAAACCATGCACAGACCTTCCGTTTGCTTAAATCCTCGGTCAAAATTTGATGCACAGTTCTTTTTGGTATTCCCAAAAGCTCCTCGATGAGTCTTGCAGAAACACATCTGTCTGATGCAAGGATTTTGGTCACTTTTTTCACGTTTTCTTCAGTGCGACTTGTTCTCAGCTTTGATGCACGTGGAGCATCTTCAGTGTCCTCCCTGCCTTCACGAAATACACCATACCATCGAAAAATGTTCAAGCGACTGAAACCATCACTACCGTACACACTTTTCATCATTTTGTATGCTTCTCCAGCAAACAAAATTTTATGTTGGCTCTCTGTTCAACCGCCATTTTCCAACGAGTGTCAGAACAGTACTGTTACATTCAGGGTCAGAACACATGATGCAGGAATGCTTGCGCTTTGAAATTATTGACAGCCACAGCTGAAACTTCAAGAATCTTAATGCCACAACTAGCCAACAGATGGCTTTGCAGGGCAAAATTAAAAAAAAATGAGTTCTAACGGGTCCTGGACACACCATGTAGATAAACATCTATCTGATATTTTTCCTTTTCAGAATGGTCTGATAGACTGAGGTGCTATATTGCCATTTCATTTCAGCTTTGCTTTAGAATATGTCATTAGGAAAGTCCAAGAAAATTGGGTGGGACACACCAGCTTCTAGTCTATGCTGCCGATGTTAATTTATGGGGGGGATAATAGGCACTAGTAAAGAGATCAGCCTAGAAGTAAACACAGAGGAAACTAATTATTTGTTGATGTCTTGTCACCAGAATGCAGGGAATAATCATAACATAAAGATAGTTAATGAAAACTTTGAAAATCTAGGAATGTTCAAGTATTTTGGAACAACAGTAAATCTGATTCATGAGGAAATTAAGAGCAGATTGAATTCAGGTAATGCTTGCTGCCATTCATTTCAGAGCTGTTTATCTTGTATTCTGTGTAAAGTCAAAGATGTGAATGTAGAAAAGTATTATAATTTTGTATGGGTGTAAAACTTGCTGTCTCAAATTAAAGGAAGACTTCAGGCGTTTCAGAACAGAGTGCTGAGGAGAATATTTAGGCCTAATAGGGATAACATAATAAGAGGTTGGAGAAATTTGCATAACTTGTTGCTAAATATTATTAGCTTGATCAAGTGAAGAAGAATGAGATGGGCAGGGCATGTAGTCCAGATGGGAAAGAAGACCTTGACATAGATCACAGGATAATATTAAAATGTGTGATGGGTCTTAGAGAAATAGTATGAGCTGGGGTGTTGTGGACTGGATATATCTGGCTCAGAATAGGGACCAGTGGTGTGCTTTTGTGAACATGGTAATGAATTGTGTTCCATAAAATGCTGAGAATATCTTGAGTGGCTGAGGAACCGTTGGCTTCTCAGGAACAACTCAGCTTCATGGAATTAGTCTGGTAGATGATTATATCACCAATATGTTTCGTGCAGTTAATTTCATTAATGTGTTAGCTTTCTGGCTGCCATTACCAGTTTTCTTAGATATTGTCTCATCAGTTAGATGAAATATATGGCTGAAAGGAGCATGTTACAGTTTTTATTACCTCCCTTTTTCAGTTTGAAATCCTTTGGTTGTCAGAATTCACTAAACAAATCTTTTCTGTCTGTCCAAGCTATTATAACATCCACAATGAGGATATTAAGAACTCATTAAAAAAGTGGTCATTGCCCATTTGCATTGAAAAACACAGACGTACTCCCCAAAATGACTTTTCTCCTTTGGAAGTCCAGAACTTTCATACCAGTGGCAGTCCCACTGATCACAGGCCTCCCCCAGTTTTGTTGGTTTCCTGAAAGGGGTAAAACCAGTAGATTTGTATTTGTAGCATTAATGGCTGGAGAAAGATATCTAAGTTTGAGCATTCTGGAGTGCTGTATGCAGATGTAAGTGGAATTGTATTTGAATGTTCCAAACATCACACCATTCTAGCTGTAGCATTCATAGTTGAAACATTGTAAGTAAGTTTATGCATGAAATTTAATGTATAGATTGGAGAATTGAGGAACACTGTTTTGAATTTTTGTTAGCTGTTTCCATTAGACTAAAGACTTTAAAAGGTGTCAATTTTGAAACACTTTAGAGTTTTTATTGGAGGTTTTTCCTAAAAAAAATACCTTGCCAGTTATGAGTCATCCTGAATATAGTAGATTTAGTAAACTGTTGTTTGAAAGTGTCTTGAATTTATACATTTTTTGGAATGGATTTTAGTTTGTGATGGATGCAGTGGTTTTTAACTAAAGACTGTGTTTGTGAATTCCTTATTGCTGCAGTGTCAGTTTCGGTTTGACAATGAGTGCAACCTTAGCCTGCCCGACAATCACAAACGGGTGAGTGAGTCATCACTGTCATCACAGCAGACCTGCATGCCGGATCACGCTTTGCTGTCTGTAAGCTTGCTACTTATTTTCTTTTAATTTTAGTTTTACTTTCATATGAGGTACATTACAAAAACCCTTATGTGTTCATATTTTTTTTAATGCTCCTCCATTTTTGTATCATTTGAATTATGAGTCTCTTCATAAGCTCAGTATTTGGCTTGCTGCAGCAAAGTGATTCAGTGAAATGCCTGTATTTCTTCAGTTCCTTGGAGGAACTAGATTACCTAATATTCAGAATTTTTAGAATAATGGTGCTGCAAACAGTGGCATATGACATTGATACTTTGTTACTATGGAAGAAATACAAAACAAAATATAGCCAGTGTTGTGTTGCACAGGAATAAATTAAGAAATTGAGACATCAAAGCAGAGGAAATTTGAAAATATAGACAGAAATGAGTAACATTTAAAAATTCCTAATAATGGAAAAATACAGCAGACAGTAATGAAATTCTGTCTGAAAGGAGCAAGACAGCTGGAAACACCAAGATTGAGGTGGTAGGAGGTCAGATGTGGTTTCTAGTTACACCTTTATGGAATAATGAATGAAGTAATTAATTCATGTCTTACTGTAATAATTAAGGCGTGTGTACACAGTAATGAATCGATGGGTTCTGTGAAAGTTTGGGTCTGTCTTGAGTAGCTGAGTAACTAAGCTCTGCTCCAGTTGGTTATTCAGGCTTAATGGAAGATTATTGAATGCAGTATTGCAAAATGATGTGGGAATATATTTTATTTTCAGAGTCGTGTTTGGTTAATTCAGAAGTTGAATCTACTTCTGTCTTTAAATAATGTGGAAAGTGTTATGCACAATGCTTCCGATTTTAGCCAGTGTGCATACTAGTAAACAATTCATGTGTGCTAGCAAACCTGTCAGAACTAAAAGGTCACACATCTACCAGTGCATTTTGACTTTGGACCAGCAATATGTTTGCATATATAAAAATACACATGAATTAACAAGCATTGTCTCGCTTACCAATCAGACAAAGAATGTGATTGTCACAAGCCTTTAGGGCATGATAATTCTACTTGTCAGACATTTCTCCAGAAAAGATATTATGCCAACAATTGCTACAGCTCTTTTTCATATATCTTGGTGTTTGAATATGTCACTGTCATGTCAGCTAGCCTTCATATTCATGCCAGATGTTAATGTGCTGTTCATCATCTGTGGAGAAACATACATACATACATACATACATACATACATATCATTTATTTTCCATAAATATCCATACGGGCAACAGACCCAGGATGTGGAAATAGTCCTATCAAGTACATACACAAAGTCACATAAAATAAGAGCAGAAGAGAATATTAATTGATAAATTCTAAGATGATTCATGTGCTACTAATGTATTATGAATTGATTGTTGAAAGGTTCACATGATAAGTTACTGGTCGTAAAGGTGTTGGTATGTATTTCTGAAGTGATGTATCTGCCTTACAAAATGCATGTTTTTTGTTTATTATTTATTCTATTTATTCCCCTTTTTGTATATGTAATATTTTGATACTAAATTTTTAGTGTCATTAGTTTATGGAATGTTTGCTATCTTCCAGTCAGCTATTAAGAACAGATTATGGATTTTAAGGACAGTTAAGTTCCAGTGGTGACATATGTAGTCAAATAATTATGTTTGTTTTTATAAGAATGTAGTCAGTGTGATTCGTATTTCATGCAATAAGACAGCATTTTCATAATTTCTACAATAAGAGTGTACCATTTGTTCAAATTAGAGTTGCACACTGAATCTAATAATCTCCCCACTGTTGTCGTGTGACTTGTGAACATGGTCAATGTACTGTTCTGCATAGGATTATAAAGAAATATACAATATAATTCTTTCTGTATTAACATGATTATGCGGGCTCTGGGTTTCATTTATGGTCAATATTCTGACTGTATCTTGGATATCGTATCTGAGTATCTCTGTGTTGCAATGATGTTGCCATATGAGCAAGAGTCTGTTCTAAATGCTGGTAGTACTATACACATAGTAGAGTAGCTCATGACATTGTTTTGTTGTATTCACATAAAATATGTAGTATGCCCATTGTGGACTGTAGAATTACCACCTTTATGAACCTTTTTTATTTCCATTTGTGGTGTAGTTTGTTGCATATTTGTATTTAATTTGTCTCTCTGTTGTGATGAAATGTAGTAGTCTAAAAAAATTCTAGGGCAGAAGCAAATAAAGTGACATTGTGGCAGATGAGCTGGAGTCTGCTTATGCACGTCAAATTTTGTATACACACTGCGCACATTTAGAGGAATTGTTCAAGGTGCATCCAGGCTAGTGTTTATCGTTATCCCAGAGTGCAATGTATGGGAGGTTTTTACGAGTAAGTAAGCAAAAACCTCAAGCACTGGCCTAACATGATATTTTTCCTGCAGTTTGTAGAATCAGCAACAGATGTGCTACAAATATTTTGGACAGTGAATAGTGAATAAATGGAATTATTCACATGGAATTGTACCATCAGATGTTCATGGAGAGTCATGAATTATTGATTGGTGACCCATGCCTGCAACGTCATGGAACAAGGACTTTGTGAGAATGTGCAGGAAACTGTGTCCTGTGATCATCATCAGACTGTAATAATATTTGCAGATGAAATCAGAATATCAGTTGATAATTAATTATCATGACATCCTTGGTACAGAGCTGAAGATACATTATTTATTTCAGTTCTTTATTTATTGTTTATTTAATAATGCTGTCAATAGCTCAGGCTATATACGTATTGTCAAATTACAGGATGACTAATGAACTGGAAATGATGTGAAAGGAGGCAGTCATGGTATAATTTGAAGTACTGTCCTGATATGTGCCCAAAGGGACTGATGTTTCAGTTGAGTTTCAAACTGAGTACCTCCCAGATACAAGCCAGAAGTGTTACAACTTGAACCAACATGTTAAATGAAAATGGTGTTTGCCACTACATCATATTTTGAATGATCACATAGGGATAATACTAGACCTGTATGAAAATCAGTAGTGAGCTGACTGTCCAGACTTTTTTTAGATCAAAATATATTTCTTTTTTTCTGAACGTTCCCTAAAGTACGTAGAAAATTTCCATCACCTCTAAGTGTCATTAAGTTCTGGCAGTTTGCAGGAAGTGTATGGCACCAAACTCTGGGTGCCCTTACATGACATTGCCTTGGCAATTGAAGCAGAACTGCACCAAACATGAAACACTGGTGCTTCTCTATGGATCTCACACTTCTGATTTTGCAGTGTGTGATTTCTACTTCCTTCCATGGGTGAAGGACTAGCTGACAGGTTGTTACTTCAAGGAAGCAGTGGAGATTCATGTGGCTGCAGAGATCAGCTGGTCAGATTCTGGAAATGTTTCAAATAACTATACAACCCCTGATAGAAGTACATGGCTGTAGAGGGATATTATTTAGAGGCACCTGCACCATAAGGCTTCTTAGTGTCACTGGATTCTGTTCGTGAATGGTTTGGAGCTACAGTGTATTGCAGCTGTGTATATAAGATATGAGCAGCTTGTTGCACCTATCACGCTTGCTGCATTAATGCACCTATCATTTTTTAATCTCACTTTTATAGGGTATTTGTAGCTATTTGTTTGTGTTGGTGTGATGGGTATGCAGGACTTGTGTACATTCAGTTGATCACAGTTATGAAGATAAGCATAGTGATTATTTTGAAATAATTAATTGTTATATACTTGGCACTAAATGTCAGTTTTCAGTGGAAATGGGTTAACTTTATTGCATAAATTTTTAAGTTCTTTAATTGAACATTGTGTGCTCTTTAAGTTCGTGATGCCAACACATGCTGAGTGTGTGTAAGGTATACTGTGCATTTTACCACATTTCTTGTTATAAAGTGCTAAAATGAACACATCAGGGGAGGAGGTCTTGTCACTGTACAAGTTTCTCTCAATAACCATTCAGCAGCATTTTTTGACTGGGGGTGGAGGGGGTCCCACACTGTAATTTGTGAGTTGATTGTAATTCTGGCTTGTGTTTGTCAGTTATAGCTCCTATTTTACATGGAGTCAAATGTAACCCACCTGTTTGTCAGAAGCAGAACATCACACAAAATAATGAGTACATGATATTAGGTATCAGACTTATCCAGATTAATAACTATTATTTGAAGCTTTTTCCCTATATTGGGATTTAAAGAAGTGGAAAGGAAGATAATTTCACACTCTGTGCAGTGAGTTAGCTTTGAAATTGTAGACTTTTGTCCACAGTAAGTAAACATTTGGAAAGTGTATGTAATCTGTTGCATATAGCTCCTGTTATATGTTTGACAGGTTATTGTAATTTTCTGTTATTATCATTCATCAGTAGTGTTATTTTGACTTGTGTGATGCAGGTGCTGTATGATGGGAAATTGTCAAGTGCCATCGTGTTTATGTACAATCCTGTAGCAACAGACAGCCAGTTGTGTCTCCAGTCAGCACCAAAAGGAAATATATCATACTTTGTTCACACTCCTCATGCCCTCATGCTTCAGGTAAGAAAAATGAACAGCAGAATTTGTTTACTCTTTCTTAGATTTGTCTTCCTCTTTAAATGAAATATGTTGTGGCAAATTTAAAATTCTATTAAAAAACTCAGGCTGAAGCAAATAATTTTAAAGATGAAAAGGCAGTCTTCTGGAATGTGGCACCATGTAGATATTATGTTAGCCAACAGACATTAGCCTGTTAACACCTGCTCACGCTGGTTCCTCACTCACAGATTTTCTTCTTTTTTCTTATACCCTGAAGATGGAGGCGATACATTCCTCCGAAACGTCGGTTAACACAATATCTACACAGCTCCATATCCCAGAAGACTGCTTTCTTCATAGTCACCGTTGTGAAGACCTAAAATCTTACAATTTTAAAATGACACTTTGTGGTCTGGTAGTAATATATCGATGTCTTGAAGTATGAATGAATGAATGTATAAGGGGTGGGCATGCTGCTTCTTACCACGTCACAATATGTTCATCTGAAATGTTAGCGGATATGTACCATATATAGCATAAACCTCTTTTAGACCACTTGGCCTGCTTGGCAGGATAATAATTTTGGTGGTGGTCACGAGGATGGTGATAAGTGATGTGAATATTTGTGGATACTGCAAGTGATGTCAGGATATGAAGGCATTAAAAGATATGTTTGGAAAAATAAAACTATTTTAAAGTTTTCTGTAAACAAATGAACCTTACCGCCATCTTTGAGCCAGTTGTCTAGATAAGGTGGGAGCCTCAATGTCTCACAACCTTATGGGCCTTCATGGCCTAGTACAGGGATAACTTCATTTTTTTTTTTTTTACTTTTACTATAAACAAATGTATTTTTGCTGATATTCTACACTTTTCCCATGGCTTATAAATACGTTTTGATTACTGCAGCTCTGAGATGTTAGAACACTTTCCTAACTTCTAAAGTACAGTTGAATGACATTCTGGGTTGGATATGTACAAGAATACACTATGAGAGAGTTAAATTATGAAATATGTCAGTCTTTTACTGACTATAACAGGTTAGGAAAGCTATGAATGTGAGGTTCACACAGTGTGTCCTAAGTTTAGGGATATAACCATGAGTAAGTTAACAGTTATAGTTTATTGTAACTTGCTGTGTTACAGGATGTGAAGGCAGTCATCACCCATTCCATCCACAGCACTCTGAACTCGATTGGAGGCATTCAGGTTCTTTTTCCACTGTTCTCACAACTCGACATGCCTTATGACTGTGCCATTGGTTCTACTGATGCGAAGCGTGACCCTTCTCTTTGGTCAGTGCATCATCATACAAGTTTTTAGTTTTGCAGTTTGTTCTTCTGAGGGAAGAACATAAATTGCAAGTAGTCTAAGGAAGGAGGTGAAGTAAATGGGAAAGGGACCACATTATATAATGTATGAGTGTAAGATGACTGCGATATTAGGTGATCAACCTTTGAAATGATATTCGTTAAGAAAAAATAACTTTATTACTTACCTAAGATTTGATGTTTGATGGTAAGGAGTGTTCAGATTGTGGGCTTCTGGGTTCTGACACTGTATAAGTGGATATCAACATTTTGGGAAAAGATTTTTCCTAAGAAATTTTGATGTTCACTTGAAAGGCTACATTAATTTTTTGCATATTTTAATGTTTATTATTCATTTTGTTTATTATTTTTTGTTAATTTCTTTGGCTAGGGTCCACTTCGTATGCAAGCCACTATTTGGCCAGTTGTACTAGTTTCTGTTGGTAAATGATGAGTGTGGAGCACTTGGAGTGCTCAGAAAAATACCTGTCCTAGTTCCATTTTGTTCACAACAAATCCAACATGACCTGACCTGGGATTGAACCCAGGCAGCTGCTTTGGGAAGCCGGCATGTAACTGCCTGAGGTGTGGCATGACCTGCAAGATTACATGGTGTCAGGAGATCACAGTCTGAACCCTTATTTACCCATGTGAGATTCTTAGGAATATATGTATTTGTAGCATAAATATACGTTTGAGCCCTTTCATGTTGAATAATAGCATTGCTCTGTTGTTTCAGTTCAAAGCTGTTGGGTTTTATCTGTGAACTGGTAGAGAGTTCCCAGACAGTTCAGCAGCACATGATCCAGAACCGAGGATTTCTTGTCATCAGTTACATGCTCCAGCGATCATCCCGGGACCATCTTACAACAGAGGTGCTGGGCTCATTCCTTGGACTTACAAAGTACCTTGTTACATGTCTCAGCTCAAATAGTGAACTGCTGCTGAAACAGGTGAGTTTTGGAATGTTTGTTTGTGGTTCTAATGTAATTGGCCTTGAAAGTTCACTTCTCATTATATATGGACAAATACCGTCTTAAGTGCAACAATTTTATTGTAGTTTTTACTTCTTTTTCCTCCTCCACACTACATGTATTAAAGATAAGCAGCGACACACACAGAGAGCGCCTACACTGAACAACACTTGAACGGCGATAAAAACAAGAAGTGGCCGCTGCAGCACCGTAGATATAGGGCATGTACCCTGAAAAACTTTAATTGAAAATTTTGAAAAAGAAAGAGAACAAAGATCTTATAGACATTTTAACTTGAATTGGGGTTTAAAAAGTGCTAATTTAAAGATCAAATTGACGCGTGTAGATTGACAAAGATTTTATACCATTGGAAAGACTGGTGTTTTTAAATTTTTAACAAGCAGTGTAACAGTTGCGTGAGTGATACACACCTGATGATGGCCATTTAGGGCCGAAACATGTAGTGTGGAGGAGGAAAAAGAAGTAAAAACTACAATAAAATTGTTGCACTTAAGACGGTATTTGTCCATATATATTGTGTGAGTGTAACAGGATGCTGAAATATAATATTCACTTCTCATAGTTGCATTAATTTTAATACAAGTACCAGTCCATTTCTGTACCACCTTGAATGAAGTCAGTCAGAAGTCTTACAATTTTGTTATTGGCTAATTTGATTTTAGTGCAGTGGTACAATTTCAGTCCTTCTGTTATTGTAGCCAGTACCTCCAGTTATGGTCCTTTGAATCTTCCTGATCCCTAATCTTCTGTGAGGGAATGGGGGGGAAAAAAAGTAAAGGTATCCCTGTAACCGGCCGTGGAGGCCCATAAGGTTGTTAGATGTTGAGGTTCCCACATTTTCTAGACAATCGGCTTATAGATGGCGGCAAGGTTGTCAGCCCTATGTGCCGGCCGCCCTTTACTCCCAAGAATATAACAAGAACATTCCTGGTACTCATTTCTGTTAGAGGCTGGGTCGACCCCAGGGCCATAGTGCGGCTGGAAGGATTAGGTCAATTGAAAAAATCCAATGACCTCATCAGGACTTGAACCTGTGTCCTTCCAGTTTGTAGTTTAGTACCTCAACCATATGAAATGGAGCACTAACTAGTCAGGCTTTACTACTCCTGATAATGAAATGGTACTTTTGTCTGGCCTAGAGTTTGACATGTTTCAGAACCATGGTGTGTTGCAGTATTCCACACATTCACGAAACCTTGCAATCAAGGGAGGTGACAGAAGGGGAAGATTTAACTGGCCAGTGTTGAATCTGATGCCTTTGATCAGAAGTTCAGCACTTGTGATGTTATCCTTAGACACAATTTGTATACCAGCATTTCCTCTGCCACATATAACAGTTATTTTGTGTGGTAATTTGTTAGAGCCTTGTCAGCTTAACCATCCCAGATGCCTATGGACATATATATATATAGGAATTATATCAACCGTCAACACAACAAATATACTCAGCCTATGGGCCATTCAAGGCATTCACTATTACAGTGGAAATAACAGTAATCACTGAAACATGGGCAGAACTCAACAAGCAACAAATCAATCTCAGACCTTAAAGCCAGCTGTTGTGGTTGCAGTCTGTTGCATCATATTTGACTTCAGATTTCAGCCACATAACTTTTTAGCTGTATCAAAGATTTTGGCAAACACTGTGGTTGCCATCATAAAGGTGAATATTTTTTTACTATTCTGTAGGTCAGTGGCCCTATATTTGAGTCTAGAAATGTGGATGGTGGTAGAGTGTTATAAGTCAGACACCAGCCAATGACATACCATCTCAACTAAAAACATTAGTGACATCCTGATATTGGATTTCATTAAAATTTGGAGCTTTTGGGGTCTTATAAGTGAGTGATAATTATGCAGTTCTACCTTCCTGCATCACTGATTTTTAGAGGAATTCAACTGACTATGTAACTTTGGGCTTAAAAACAAACTAATGGATGTAAAAGAAAGCAGTCTTCTGGGATTTGGCACCGTGTATATGTGGTGTTAACCGACGTTTCGGAGGAACGTATCGCCCCCATCTTCAGGGTAGAAGAAAAAGTATAAGAAATCTGCAAGCGACAACACCGTGAGAAACGGTAAAGCAGACTTTACCGTTTCTCACGGTGTTGTCGCTTGCAGATTTCTTAAACTTTTTCTTCAACCCTGAAGATGGGGGCGATACATTCCTCCAAAACGTCGGTTAACACCACATATACACGGTGCCAAATCCCAGAAGACTGCTTTCTTCATAGTCACTGCCGTGAAAGCCTCAAATCTTACATACTGGATGTAAGATTCCAATAGATCAGCAATGATAGTTGAAAGAGGACTTGCACATCATATAACAGTCCAGTGGATTTAGGATGGCTGTAGAACCTTAATGGTGGTTGAAAGAGGACTGGCACATCAGTTAAGGTGCAGTTGTTCTGCTTTTCATTCTTGACGTGGCAGCTGCTGGACCATGTGCTCTTCAACCCAGCACTGTGGATCTACACTCCTGCTCCCGTCCAGGCGCGCCTATACTCATACCTGGCCACTGAATTCCTGTCCGACACGCAGATCTACTCTACTGTGCGGCGTGTGTCAACTGTGCTTCAGACTGTGCACACACTCAAGTACTATTACTGGGTAGCTAATCCACGTGCCAAGAGTGGTATCACACCCAAGGGGCTTGGTAAGTCATATTGTTACTGTGCTGAATCTAAGAACCAAGTCTGGCTGAATCATGATCTTAGGCGTATGTGTTCTTGTGATTTTGAGAGAGTCTAAATTTCAGAGCTTGCTCCCTGCTTCTGCTGGTTTCTTGCTTTACTTGCTCTTTGACCCTGAAGAAGGAGGCTTTATTTTCCTTTGATACATCGGGCTGTCTTTTAGCTACATGATCTTGCAGTTCAGAAGACTACTGTTCATATTCATGACTGTGGGAACCTTGAATGTAATATAATTTTTGGCCAACCTCTTTTGTATTATACTGGATTTCGTTTTTGAGCTGTATCACTCCTTGAAGTGTATCCAACCTTTGGTAGACATTGCAGTTGCTATCATCATGGTTATATCCTTGACTATTGTAGGTGAGAATAAGTGTATGTTGAGAGGTGACTGGATAGTGTTCTGAGCCAACTATCCCCTCTTCATCAGAGTAGGCACTGAAGTAATAAAACATTAAGAAAATATAAACTTAGATGACAGGTACAGACTAATAAAGATATGGAACAGAATACTTCTCAAGACACAATCATCTTCCATAACTCCACTTGACTTTTCATTGGCTAGCATATGGTTTGGAACACTAGCCAGTCAGATCACCATTTCATCCACTCATCCTCCATGGTGCCTGTATACAGTGACACATAGCCCATTCAGTACATATGCTCTTATAATGGAGGTTGCAGTAACATCCAGAGACTGGACAAAGTGGAAAGTGCAACAAGCAACACTTCTCAAGTTTTGAAGGCAATAATTTGTATGTCTGATTTCTTCTCAAATGATTTAATTTTAACACGTTCATGTCTGGGTACCAACATGGCTACCACACACTGTACTACACTTAAACATAAGGTGTAAAATGAGCACAATATTTTGTTCTCATTTTCAATGCTGAAGTCTCAGTATGTCCTGTACTCTGTGTGAGAAATCATTCTTTTGTGTAAGGGAAATGATTTCTTATTAAAGCACCATGTATTCAGAAGAATGAAGTAATTTTCATGCTTTTATAAATTATTTTTAAAATGCTTTAATGAAGGAGAGGTATATCTGTCTGTCTGCATGTTTCATCTCTGAAACCACTGAACGAATTCAGATGAAATTTGGTATAAGATATCCATGCCAGCAGTTACTTTGCAAGTTTTCTCTTGGTTCAGTATACTCCAACTGTGTATGAAGCTGAGATTGAATGTTATCTGTTTCATTTGTGAAATTGTAGGTTGTCATGTCAGTGTATGTGAAGATAACACATCCTAGAAGAGAACAGTAATCTTTATCTATTTTCTCTAAAGTGGTTTATTGTACAGAAAGTGGGTATATATTGTAAATAAAGTGTAGACATCACTAATATCAATAACCTTTGTTTGTAAATATTTTTATGTGATGAAAATTTGACAATGTAAAGAAAAATAATTTCAGACTTTATGCAATATGATGTTGAATGAAAGTATAAAGGGCGGGCCTTCTCAGCCCTTGCACTGTGACTTACAGTGGTCTATTGTGCTTAATATGAGGTTGATAATGTGATTAACTTTGCATCAGACATTCATATCTGCAAGGAATAAACATCAAGGCAAATGTGGTACCCATATTGACAAAGAAAGAATTTGTATTTGTGTGCTTCTGCTTCCTAGAATAAGAGTCACCTTCCCATTGGGAATGTACTGTATACAACATTTGTCACTAACTCTAACTTCCAGAGTAACTTTTCTCTTTTCTTGCTCTTGGAAATTTCTGTTGCATCTCTAGCTTTGGAATTTGTTGTGATTATCAGCTGAAGTCCTCATAACGTTGTCACGTGTTGACTATGTAATATGACAGTAATTCACGGGGGTCTCGGATGTAGAGAATATGTTTATTGGGAGAGAAGTGGAAGAAGTGGGATTTGACTTAAACATGCAAACAACACGCAGAACAGTCTGGGTGACATATAAAAATAGAAGCTCTGAAATATTGATATGTGAAGGAAAATTCAGAATTCCACTTTATGGTGTAAAGATTGGGGCTTTCCTGCTTAATCCACCTGTATGCCATGTACTATAAAGAAGAAATTTCCAGAATGCTTGCAGATGCAGATACATTAGCAACCATGTTGTTTCTACCAGGGTAAGGTGCCTTATGTACTTGGCCTCAGCAGTGGTTGTTAATTTACCAGTTTAATGTTTGATGCCCAAAATTAAAATGTAATGGAAGTAAAACTCTGTAACTACTCAGAATAGGTTGATTCAGCGAGGTAATAGAAAGCATCGAAAAGAGAGAGAAGACTTGATGACGAACTGAAAAGTAAGATTTGGGGGAAATATAAGAGATTTCTATTCATTGACCCATATAAATGGATGATGCTACAAGAAGAAGAAAAGGAATTAGGGGGAGGAGGTGTACATGCTCAAAAGAAACCATGTTGTAGAGCCCTATTTTTTGTACACATATAACAGATTTACACACCGCTGTATACTTAATATCACCAAATTTGTTTCCCCTTGGAACTTTTCTGTGTGCAGATCATGCTTACTATTCACATTAATTCACATTGCTATTTAAAAGAACGGAGATTAAAATAATGATGTAATTGGAGATGGACCTGTTTATATATTTAAAATGTATGAACCTTTTGGATAAAACTGGCTGGCTTGTAGAAATAATTTAGTTAGCATATTTGAATGTGTTTTTCATTGTGGGGTCATACTATTTTAGACAGTACTCCTGACATTTTGGAGGAACTTCCAGGATTCAGTGAAGATTTCAGTGCCAGAAGTTTCTGCAGAGTGTAGCAGACTAAAAACATTTAATCAATGTCAACATGAAAATCTCAGGACTCGTAATAAGTGTGATCTCTAAATATGCCTTTTTATTGCTTGTAGATGGACCACGTCCTCCTCATAAGGACATTTTGGCAATTCGTGGTTACATCCTGTTGTTCCTGAAGCAGCTGATTATGATTGGCAATGGTGTGAAGGATGATGAGCTGCAGAGTATTCTCAACTACCTCACCACCATGCATGAAGTAATTGACTGCCAGTTCTATTTAATTTGAAGTAACTAAATGTAGATTTGTTTAAAACTGTAATTAATATGCAAAATGGCTTATTCTTTTCAGTTGTGATATATTACATGTACAGAAGAAGTACATTCAAATAGTTGCATATATTTTGTTGGCCTATGTCTGAACATTGTTTCACAACCTTAGATGCAGCTGATTTAAACTCTCCAGTTTTGCCAAAATAGTAGGTGTCAACACTCCATTCTTTCCTTGTGCGTAACCTTTCTTCTCGTCGTTTTCACTGTTCCTTGTAAATGTCAGAAATGGAGGTGTGCTTATTATATTTTCCACAGTAAGTCAGTTCATAGTATGTTTATTTACAATGTTAAATTGCAACATCCTGTTGCACTGCTTATATTTGACTTTACTAACTGATTTTTTGCCATCTATGTGCAATGACGAGAGAATACTAACTAACGTTGAACATAGGTTGCAAAAAAGTGGAACGAAAAGTCACGCATTTGCTTATGGTGCAGACACCCACAGTTCCACTTGCAGTGAGGTGCCTTTTTCTTTTTCTAAACACCATGCTTATAATGGCTTTGGAGATCATAATTTAATCTCTTTCTTTCCTGTCTTCCTCCACCGCTCTCATTGCCGCCACCACTGCCATTAACTGGCTTAGATTGTCTGACGTATTCTGAAATTTGAATCTTACAGACAGTCATCAGGACTCCTTGGATGGGTTATCAGCCCATCGCAAGGCCACTGCTTACACAGGACAATACAGATACCAAATAAATGCAGACATCCATGCCTTGAGTAGAATTTGAATGCATAATCCCAATGTTTGAGCAGGTGAAGACAGGTGTTTGTTTTCTTCCTTCTTTTATTCATATATAAGAATGAGAAGAGTGCTCTGCTCTGCTTCCTGCCAGATATATACCACTACTAATCCATTCCCTTAAATATAATAAGAATGCAAGAAGATGCATTTATTCCTCTGTGCTTCCTCTGTTGCTTTTTGATTTTCTGCAGCATGAAACTTCGGTTCAGGTAGGAAAGTTATGGCCAGTGACAACATTCTGTTGGAACTTGATTCAGATCATTTTTCTGATGTATCCAATAATGCAAGTATTGAAACAGAAACCTTGGACGCTTATGTGGTCACTACCAGTATGGTTACTGCCCATGATTTCAGAGGCATGCTGATTGCTTGATCATGACTTCTGTTGAAAGTTTTATTATGAACAGACACTACAGAAGACCAGTGATTATTTGGGACAGCATTGCTTACATTTTATTGTGTGTCTTTTGCAGGATGAAAACCTTCATGACGTGCTTCAGATGCTGATTTCCCTCATATCAGAGCATCCAGCTTCAATGGTGCCAGCTTTTGATGTGAAGCAGGGTGTGCGCACAATCTTCAAATTGCTTGCCGCTGAAAGCCTGCTGATCAGGCTCCAGGCTCTGAAGTTACTGGGATTTTTCCTCAGCCGCAGCACACACAAGTGAGTTGTCTGAGATCTCTCCATTCATCCACACTAAAGTATGTTTTATCACAATACTGCTGTACCTTTCAATCAAGTTTATTTCCATTTTCATAGGTGGATCACTGGTAACTAACTCCTTGGTGCATAGTGTTCCTTGAGGAGATACTCAAGTGGGCAACAAATTCTGGTCCTTTACAGAATATTACCTTAAGGATTGTGTCCTGAGCCAGTGGAATCCAGCCTCCACCTTCAAATCCTGTTTTTCCAATATCTGTTTAATTTTGTCATTAATCTATGCCAAAGTCTTCCAGGTGGTTTCTTTCCTTTAGGTTTCCCAATCAAAAACACTAAGAAAAGATGTAATTTTTTAGACTGGGCATAGATGATAGCTTCTTCGTGGAGCTAAGCCCTGGAGAAGCAGCCAGTTGTGCAGCTACTCAGGAACTTCCAAACATTTTATGGAACCCAAAGGTTAATTTCCATGTTCAGTCCATACCATCCCATCCTATCTCTCTAAGATCCAGTATCTGATATGCATTCCTCTTCTCCCCCATTTATGCTGCATGCCCTGGCCATCTCATCCTCCTTGACTTGATCGTTCTAATTACCGTATTTACGCATGTATAGGCCGCACATTTTTTGCCAAAAATTCAAGAGGAAAACTGGGGTGTGGCTTATATTCGAAATATTCTAATATATATATATTATATCATATATTGTATTATATTATTATATATATTCTAAAATTTCTACTCCTGAAATAATATTCCAAGAAAATTATTTTTTCTATAATTTCTGTCTGAAAATTGTGCTGCGGCCTATACACGCACGCGGCCTATACATGCGTAAATACGGTATATACTTGGTGAAGAATACAAGATATGGAGATCCTCATTATGCAGTTTTCTCAAGCCTCCTATCACTTCATCTCTTTGGTCCAAACATTCTCCTCAATACCCTGTTCTCAAACACCCTCAGTGTTACAATTTTGTGGTTGTAGTTGTAATTTACCATATTTACTCAATACGGCACACACTAATTTTCTTCATCGGTATTCCTTTATATTAGGATTTTACTATAAACTTCTGTAAGAGACATGATCTCTTTTTAAGAGTACCAAATGAATTTTCTAAAATATATAAGTACGTAGAAGCTGAAGATGCATTGAATACCCAAGCGGCACTAGAACATGAACCACATGAATGAAGTGACTGTGGATGTTTGAAGCAAAGTTGGAGCGGCCAACTGAAGCTTAAGGGTTGAGGAACTGGTAGAATTAAGCTTATTTGCTGGCCGTGCCATAGCTCAAGTGGTTAGTCGCTCGCTTCCCACCGCGGTGGCCCAGGTTCGATCCTGGGTCTGGTCAAATGGGATTTGTGGTGGACAAAGTGGCGCTAGAGCAGGTTTTCTCTGGTACTTCGGTTTCCCCTGCCAATCTTCATTCCACCAATTGTTCCACAATCACCCTCACCTATCATCTGGGGCTGGTACAATAGGCCAGAAGTGGCCGCAGTGCAAGGGACTTAGTCCCACCCCACTAGCAATAAAGAAAAGCTTATTTGCTGCTTGGTTCATGATTAACACTATGTATAGTCAGATTTCATTAGCTTGGTTTCTTCTGCATGACAAAATCTCCTTCACCACACTTATATGTCCTACCATTATAATGTCATTCTGTACCACTCAGTGTATGAGGAAAAGAAAATATTGTCATGTGTAGGGATGACTTTTAAGACAGGTTTTGGATTGGATGATTGCGTTTATTGACACCTTATACACAGTACTCAGGACTATAGGTAATCCTGTACTGTTGCTATTGTACACACTTTATAGTTCTCCGTTGCACACACACACACTAGGGTCCCAGTCTTCAGTAGTTGTACCCTGGCAAAGGATTGATCAGTCTCACTGTTACTTCAAATCTCACATGAAGTCTTCTTTGAACCACCTAACTCACTTTCTTGCTCTTATTCTGTGACTTCCAATAGTGAAGATTTGACTCAATTCAGTTTTTCTGCTCCCGAGCTCATATCCTGGCAGGCTGGCATCCCAAAACTTGGCACTTCACTTCTGGCTTCTCTGCTCTAATCGTACTACTGTTCTTTACTTCGTCGCGTCATCTGACTGTGTCCTTTTATAACCTCTCAGCACGAACCACCCACAAAAGACAGCATGTATTGCATGTTTACTGTGTCATTGCCTAGCAATAGATGTCCTATTTTTCGTGCATTTGCTTCTGCTGAAATATGTTTAGTGTGTCATTGCCTATCAATGCGTATACATAGTATGCAATTAATGTTTCAGGAGAAAATATGATGTAATGAGTCCACACAACCTCTATACTCTTCTGGCTGAACGTCTGCTCTTGAATGAGGAAACGCTCACCCTTCCAACATACAATGTCTTATATGAGGTAAGTTTAGATCATGTGGCTCAGCAATTGTATAAGGGAAGTTGTGGTAACGTGCTGCATGTTCTAAACCCTGACATGAAATTGAGTTCAATTGTCAGCTTGTTACTTTACCCCTAGGGAAAGAACATTGGATTGTAGGTTGGTTGGAGACAAGAACCATTCTAACCATGTAGATTGTTGTGGTGGTCAAGATAAAAATCTCAGATTCCCTACCAAATTCCGTATCCTGAGTATCCCCCCCCCATAGCATTCACTGAATGATGTCTCATGTGTTGGATTTGGTTACAAGTTATTATAGGAATGTAAAGTTGTATTAATTTAGAATAAACATATTTTTTAAATGTGTTTTTGCTGTTTTACATATATCAATAGGCCTGACGTTTATTTGTTACTGATTTTGTAGTAGGAACGTTAGAGTTTCATCCTTTTCATATCATTTAATGAGTGATTCCTTTACTTCAGCCATTTTCTAACTTATCTCTATTTATCCTAGCATCATTCATACAATGTAATATTTGAATACTGAATAAGTATTAGTTATGTACTGAATCATATTAACTTCCTGCATCTTTTCAATCAGTCTTACTGATTTACCAGTATCAGTTACTACCAGTAATTAAATTTGAAACTTTATTTTCATCAACACCAGAAAGAACACATGAACACCATTACACTATTACATTACAGGTACAAGTTTATGGTTGCGGAGCTACTTATAGTATGTACACTCAGGTATTATTATTATTATTATTATTATTATCATCCTGTACTTTCTTAAATATTCCTCATATCAAATTTACTTTTTAAATGCACAGTTAATTGTACATTCAAATGAAGTCTGTATTTTGTGTTGTGTACAATTGTTTCATGTGGTGGACCACTTTTAAGAAAGTTAATAAAATTCACTTTGGCTTTATATTTGGTATTCATTATGTAAAAAGAGTTCATAAAATGAATAATGCAAATTGTACGTATGTGATGGTCAATGGCTGCTTGTAGTTGGAGGTAATGAAAAGTGTAAGTGTGATTTCAAATTCTGGTCTTAATATTCATTTATTGCCGATATAGTCTGTTCCTGTAGAAACAAATCTGTTGTCAGAAAGCTTATCACATATTTTACTAAATGAAACTTTATGTTTTTATTTTCCTTGTGTTTAGTAAAACATACAGCATATGAAAATGTTGTGGCATATTGGCTCTATGCAGGAACTGTTGAGCCACAAAGGCCTCAGGGCACGCGTGCAGCATGAGTGTTGCGGATTGTATCGGTGCGTTGCTAGGCGACAACTCTGTGAACGCTTGGATTGAGCAACAGGAAGTGCGAGTGACGTCACATACCCCACTCATCCTGTAACTACGCAATGCTCGGTAAACTCCCCTCCCCACTATGTTGTGTCGTCAGGCAACAGGGGAGGCCGTGCAGAGACTATTGCTAGGCAATCAGTAAACATGATGTCACGCAACAGTGGTAGCTATCACGTAACTGTTTTCTGTGTTGTCAGTGCAGAAGCTACATAACGAGGAGTATTCGTCAGTGTAGAACCAGAGAGTTACTAGTATCCAGTATGAGTATGAGTTACGAGTATTAGAGTGTGTGTCAAAGAGAGTGGAAGTTGCAAGATGAAAGCTTTGGTTAAGGCAGTAATTGTGAAATTGTGAATTGTGTAAGTGTAAGAGCAAGTGTTCAATATATTTGCTAGGATCCAAAACAGCGTGAAGTTATTTGTCACGTAACTAACGCCCAACACGTGACAACATGTTTGAAATTGAAGTTGTAGGTTACATGCAAATAAATGATGCATACACTTGTAATATACTAATGTTCCATACAGTCTTACAGCCTTTAAGAAAGTTATGTTCAGTTTTACTTGCATTTAAATAAAATTCACATAATACTGAATTCCATTGAAATATGCTGAGTGTGTGTGAAAATGAAATATGCAAATGGGTACATACAGGGTCTTTACTTAATGCACTTTGAATACAGAATGCTTAAATATGAATAATCTTATTGATTTGCAGCAAATAAACTATAGATTTAGCCATTTGGTTGGTGCATGACAGTGTTTGGATGCCAGAAATTGTTATGTCCATGAAGGAGTCAGCCAGGTTTCTTTAAAAGACACAGTGTCTGATTAATCACTTTATTCTTTGATCAAGAATGTTGTGTATTTATTTGTTGAATTCCTTATGTGTTGTGGATTTACAAGATTTATCTTACAATTTCATAAATATAAATCTAGCTTAAATACTGAATATTTACTGTGCTCATGGTGTGTACATTTACTGTTATCAGTTTTTAATTTTGGCAGTGTCTTAGCATGTGTTTATTAGCCTTTGTCTCTAATTTCAGAGTATTTTCTACCAACTTTATCAAGGTTCAGATATCAATTCCGATTTATTTTCCATTAAATGTGGTGATGTGTCCACAACAAAGCATGTTTATTTACCTCATGATTTCTGAATCCATTAATAGTGGATAGTTGCTAATTATATTAGTTGATATCCTAGTAAGAAAACTATTCTTTATATTGCTAAATATATGTGGGACAAACAGAGAGATCCATATTAAAACATGAAGTTCTGGGAAGAACTAGTCACCTACTTTCCTTTGATATAACATGGACTGCATAGAAAACAATCTCTCCGATTCTTCATTGCCGCAGGAATATCTTTACTGAGTTGTTACCTAGCAACAGTAAGGGGATACGCAGCCAGACCGACAAACAACCGCGGTCAACGATTCTTCTATTGTTGCATGCATTCGTTGCCATGGGTAGTGTTTACTAAGCTGTAGCCTTGCACCTAAAGGAGGGATGCAGTAAACCAAGCCATTGCTTTGAAATGATAGGAGGGATGCATGCACAAACTGATGGGAGGGATTTATGAAATATGCCATTGAAATGGGCTCAGTTGCCATGATACACATGCAAAGTTTCATGAAGACATTCAAAAGTTTACATGGAGGGATACACAGGCACATAGACAGGATGAAGATTGCATAAACCTATTTTAGGAAAGTAGGCTAAAAATGGAAGAACATGTCTCACATGCAATACTAAGAATAGACACATGTAAAAGAGTAATGTGATACTTTGCATTCAGTACTATGGATTAGAAATGAGCCATTGTGATATATTCCCTTATCTCCTTTTAGTATAACATTTTATTAAAGAAAAATATGTATTTGCAGATCATGACAGAACACATCAGCCAGCAGATTCTATATACACGCCACCCTGAGCCTGAGTCTCACTTCCGTCTGGAGAACCCAAGTGAGTCTCTTATCTGGAAATGTCTACATCCTCTTTGGGTTGTCCCATTTTTGTAGGCTTTACATTCTGACACTCTGTAGCTTTTGCTCAGTCTGTCCAGCTTCCTTCATATTCTTTTCATTCACTGTTTTTCTAAATTTCTTCTTTTTTCTCTTTCATATGTTTCCATTTTATTTACAGAAAACTATCTATAATTCATTTGGCCTATTTGATCTATGTTATTCCTCTTTGATTTAATTCCACCATTCAGATCAGAAGATAACATCCTTCTGAATACTGTACAAAAATGAATTTGTGCTGTTCTCAACTGAAGTGTTTATCTTTGGTTTTGTTGTCCAGTGTTCATTCCCAAAACTTTTAATATGCTTTAAAGTATTCAATAATACATGTAATTTTGCTTTGCTTAATATTCCACTGTTCCTTTTCTTTCCAGTAAAAGTTTTGCAAATAACATGTAAGGTGAAGAGTACTGTCTTCTGGGACACAGTTCCTTATATCTGAGTGAAGTCCTCTGACATTTCAGAGGAACATACTTTTGCTTTGCCTGCTGGCATTTGCTTGGACCACTCCTCAACCTTGAAGATAAAGGAGCTAGTGTTCTTCCAGAATGCTGGTGATCTTCTACCACATTACACAGTGTTGCATCCCAGAAGATAGCACTCTTCATAGGCACTTCTGTGAGAATCCCTAATCCAACACCTTAAGATATTTTTTAATTATGTGCAGTGATTCTGAAAGTGGTGGCAACACTGGTGAGGCAATCAAAACAGACTGAACAGCTGCTAGATGTGAAGAAGCTATTTCTTTCTGACATGACTTTACTGTGCAACAATAACCGCGAAAACCGGCGCACAGTGTTGCAAATGTCTGTCTGGCAGGTTAGTTTCTTTTCGTAAGAGTCCATTTTGCAACATTATATGTTAATACAGGTTTCGAACATATTTTGTAAATTGTATTTTTGTGCAATTTTGGATTTTCTGTGTTCCATTGTTCCAGGATATCCCTTTTATAATTTGATAAAAATTTAATACTATTTTATATTCTTGTGTTGGTCTCTTCAGCAGTTTTCCCTTACACATTTATGCCCTTCCACACGCACACACATACGCCATTCAGATCACTTATATTAACATGTAAATAAATATTGTCACATGTCTGGGGTTCCATGACCAATAGTAACAAGTTCTGGATTGGGTGATTGGATTTATTGACAGCTTCTGTTACAGTCATTCTTAATTACAATCAAGAGTAACAGCTCACAATCATTGACTGCTTAAGACTCACTCCATTCCTTGCTGGATTATGACTATGTTCCCTTCTGCTGTGACTGACTTGGTTCTAATTTACGGATGGATCAATTCTTCAGCTTCTGTTGTCCGCTGGTTAACACTCCATGGCTGAACACTCAACTGAGCTACCAGACTCTGAACTCTCTTATAAATGACAAATGATGAATGATGACTCACTTACGAATGAATGCATTGTTATGTGCCCCCCCCCCATAACTTCAGCGGTAAACACCTGCAATATTTCCTCTGTTACTGTGCTCTTATTTGCTGCTGGAGGAATATGTATAGTGACCCATTACCCAGCAACAGATGTCCTTACACTGTTGAGAGCATAACTTTGGGAATATGTTTACCAAGCCGTTGCCTAGCAATGGTCATGTGCGTCACATTATATATCTGTACATATTCATAAAAATGTTAATTTTAAAGATGCATGAAGTTCTGCCCCAGTGTCTAGCTGTCAATCATTGAAGGCAGATAGAAGACATGGATATAAATGTTCGCACATTCTAGACCTCAAAAACAGATGGGGGCAAGTTTCGTGATCAGACAGCATGATACTTTACCCATGGATCCCAGAGTCATTCTGGATATGATGGCAAAAGTAAAGAGAGAGAAAGAAAGAAAGAAGAGTCTGGCCCTGCAGATACTGAAACTGCGGTTTTCCATTCCATATTCAGCCACTTTACTGACCGAATTAGAGTTATGTAATTATGTATTAATATTATTAATATTAATATTAATATTATAATGTATTAATGTAATAATTATGTATTTACACTGGTGTGTTTATGTATTCATGCTGTCTTTACTCATTATAATTGAACCCTTTTATGTGTGATTCTGATTGAATGTCTGAATATTTGCAGGAATGGTTAATAGCAATGGCTTACATCCATCCCAAAAATTCAGAAGAGCAAAAGATTTCAGACATGGTGTACTCACTGTTCCGCATGCTTTTACATCATGCCATCAAGCATGAATATGGTGGTTGGCGAGTGTGGGTTGACACCCTGGCCATCGTCCATTCCAAGGTCAGAGAGGCTATATTTGTGTATGCTATATGTGATACTAGTAAGTAAGTAAAGGTATCCCTGTAACAGGCCATGGAGGCCCATAGGGTTGTGAGATGTTTATTTATTTATTTATTCACTTAACATCCATGGATCATTATACATGACACAGGACAAGTCAAAATGTTGAGGTTCCCATGTTTTTAATTATAAAATTACTATTTTGAATATAACATAGCTGTAGGTCTTCAGGCTGTCTGTATTTATGTTGTGTATTAATTTTCTGTACACTGAGTTGTGTTTGAGAAAACTGATAAAAAATAGAATGCTGTGATTATAAGAAACGAAACATTAAGCCTAGAAAATTGTAATATCACTCTTTGCTGTTTATTTTTGGTGAAATTGAGAATACTGTGAATCAGTCATGTTCTGTTGCAGTTCTATATTTTGTTGTATTGCATCACTATAGTCTTTGGATAATTGTCAATAATTTCAGTCTGTCTTCTAAATTTGTCCCACCATCACTTCGTATATTCTGTGTATTCACTGTGCTTTTAGTTTTCTTTTTCTTTACTTTGCATTTGGTATCCAGTGACTGTTGTTTCGGTCATTTGTCATCTCAGATTCTTTCTTTATGCATACATATCCACAACATTTTATACTCTTTTTACTGCACAATGTTCTTTATATTCACTACTTTGTACCCTATTCTATCTAGTGACACAAACATGCCCAGTAAAGGAAAAAATTCTGCTGATTTTGGCAGAGCTGGTCCTCACTGTTTAATACCCAACATTCTGGTTCTTACATTTCTGTGTACCACATATATTGCATATTCACAGGTGGTACACTTCCAGCAGCATCCTACAGTAATCTTCATATCTGTATTTCATATTATTCTGATGCTGTCCCAAATCTCAAACAGTGAAAATGTTTACAGGTCTCATATGAGGAATTCAAGTTGCAGTTTGCTCAGATGTATGAACATTATGAGAGACAGCGATCAGATAACATCACAGATCCAGCCGTCCGGCAGCAACGTCCAATAAGCACCATTTCAGGTTGGGATCAACAGCATACCAATGGTTACCACACAAGGCCTCCAATCGCATCCTGGCCGGGACCAGCACTGCCACTTCAAGATTCACAGCCCTCCAGTGCGGCAGGTTCCGCAGTTTGTAGCTGTGACCTTGGGGTTCGGGAGAGTGGGCCCCCAATCCATGAACCTCAGCAACAGGCATCTCAGGGAGGTTTGGTAGGCTCAGTGGCCTGTAGCTGTGATTTGGAATCCCCTGGGGGACTTGGGGACAAGTGCAGTGCAGACGGATTGCTAGGGCTAGAGGAAGAGAAAGTGCCCAGTGATATTGTGTCCATAGGTTCAAGTACTTGTAATCTCTACAGTGAAGTGTGCAAACCAGATTCAGCACTTACTCTGGAGGATGATAATCCCTCAGATACTGAAGACCATGGGGAGTGTTTGCCAGCTTCTGAGGATCAAATTGTACCTGATAGTGACCAGGGACAGGTTTATCCAGAAACACCAATAAGTGAACCCAGTAACCAAGTACTTAAAGAAAATGCTTGCAACAGTCTTTCAGAAGAAATTGTATTCAAAGAAAATGAGCAACAGTCTGAAAATATTGAATTTGTAACGTCAAAAACAGCCAACGAAAATGTTGAAGTTGACAATATTTCACAAGAAAAATCATTAGAAGAACTCAGGAAAGAAGATGACAAAGAGCAGGGGTGTCCAATTGATGGTAATAATTTACCTGCCCAAGACAAGCAAAACAGCAGCAACACAGACATTTCACCAAAAGGCGTTTTAGATGCAGAACAGCTCAAGAATGAAGCCAAGACTGTTACTCATGTGGCTGCTTCAAAGTCTGAAGATGGTAGTCCTGCAGTTGAAAACCTTGTTGAAAGTTTTGATGAAGCAGTTGAATTGCAAGATGAGCATACCATCAAGGAAGATGTTGAACTTCTGAATTTAGTGAGCAACGAAGTAACTGTTCAAGTTGAACGTGAAGTTGGTGACAGTGATACATCAGAAGCATATTTGACACCAACAGATACTGCTGAAACAAGCACTGAAAAGAAGGAGACTGAAGCCGAGGAATCTGAGGAAAGCAAGCCTCTTGATTCAGAGGCAGATGTAGGGGTTGCGAGGAGTAGCAATGAGAGCTCCATAGAAGAAAAGGCCAGTGGAGAAGAAGCTGTGTTGATCCTTGCCAAAGACAGTAAGGGAAATTGCTCAAGTAGTGCTGAAACTGCTGACATTGAGGTTGAAGCAAAACTAGAGGGTAAAGAGTGTGTGAAAACATTGGAAAGTGGAGGGGATAACAGTGAAGGTCAGTTTCAGGGCAAGGATTTTAAAACTGTTGATCAAGAAGAGGTGGCATGTATTACAGAAGACAGTGAATCTGTCCTAGATGAAGGTGCTGAGAGCACAGTGGAGTCATGTGAAAGTAATGAAAACTTGTTGGATGATGGGATTGGAAAGTCGAGTGACAGGGTGGCAGACATTCATGCCAAAAGTGTGCCAGATACTACTAATTCTTTCAAAGTGCCAAATGTTATTAGTACTGCTTTTTCTGAAATCAGTACAAAGTGTGATCCAATCAGAACTGAACACCCTGTCCATGATGCAGGATCCAACTCGTTGGAGGAAGATGTGAGTGTGGAGTTAAGGAAACAGGTCTCTAAAGAAACGGAAGAAGAACCAGTCGTTCTACCAGCTAACACTAGAAACTCACCACAGAAGAGGCCGCACAGTGCATCCACCTCCACTCAGGTTGATCCTGTTCACTTTGGTAAGTTAGTGTTTGACTCTATTTTTGTAGTGTTATTTCCGGTCATTAACATGTAAAGTCCGACTGTGTTAATTTGTTATAGAAATGCAATTTGGATCAGAATCCACAGTATACATGAGAAGTTAAAATTACAGTTTTATTTTCAGGAACACTGTGCAACTTAAGAGTTATTTATTAGCATAATAATTATTATATTTCATTGATAGGTTGAGACATGCGACGTTATCACAGTAATCTTCCGTTCATTCATTTGCAATATATATGGTTTGAGGAGCATAATGGTGCAGGAAAGATACCAAAAAAATGCAAATGCATAACTGTCCATATTATTTTGAGACATCCATAAAAGTATCCATATTCCTTTCGGATATGTTTGGTTACTCTTCCTGACCTCGGTGACGTAGGAAATGTTTGATATTTTATTATAGAGAGAGATTGGAGGAATTTTGATCTTTACAGTTTACCAGAATTCTCTTATTATTATAATACTATATTATACTAAATCTGAATATGAATGTATATCCATTTGTGCCTGTAAAATGTTATTTTGTTTTGACAGCATTGTCAAACATTCCCAAAGGTGTCTCTCTCTCCTCACCATCTCGCTCATCTTCTGGAAATAAATGCGGTGCAGATTGTATTGTACACTTCATAGTCTCAAAGAACATTGTGTGCCAGCATTTGATGGATATGAATTAAATTATATTATATGTTTCAGAATCAAAATGCCTGAAGGCATGTCAGGTGGTGCAGAGCTCATCACGTCCTATGTTCAGTCCAGGTCCAACAAGGCCCCCGTTTCGTATTCCTGAATTCAAGTGGTCATACATCCACCAGCGTCTGCTTTCAGATGTGTTGTTCTCATTGGAAACAGACATCCAGGTCTGGAGAAGGTATGAAGTAGTTCTGCCGTCTGAGAGATTGCATTTTTTCAAATGAATGAGATGTTTAATAAATCTTCTTGACAGAAGGACCCGGGGGCATGTGGTAGTGTAGCTTGTTGAGGCACTATGCTACAAGCCAGAAGGTCATGGGTTCAAGTCCTGATGAGGTCATTGGATTTTTTTCAGTGGACCTAATCCTTCAAGCTGCACTATGGCCCTGGGCTTGACTCAGCCTCTAACAGAAATGAGTACCAAGAATATTATTGGAATATTCTTGGGGGTAAAGGGCGGCCGGCACGTAGGGCTGACAACCTTGCTGCCATCTATGAGTCGATTGTCTAGAAAATGTGCGAACCTCAACATCACACAACCTTATGGGCCTCCACGACCTGTTACAAAGATACCTGTAACCTCCTGTCCCAGGAAGAAAGTTTCAATATTCTGGGAGGTCAAAGTATCTGTCATTTTAAGCAAGAAAGTATATATATATATGTCCTATTCTGAACATTTCCGAGATAGAGCTATTTCACTGTAAATGAGTTTAGATTTGGCGCCCAATATTGCCCTTCCCTCCAGCTGTACTGCACCACTGTCTGAAGCATGTGAATTGGAGGGAAGCATCAGTTGGCCATTGTGACTGTTGTAGGAGTGTTGTGAAAAATGCCACACATCTTCACAAATGCTGAATATGCTGCTGTGTTGTATGTGTACATGTATGTACACATGTATGTCTGTGACAGCTGCTGCAGCTGTTGAATACTGTCTGTGGTTTCCTTTGCCAGAATTCTGGATCATAGGCTGTTTTGTAAGGTGTTCAGTACATTGCTGGAAAGTGGTATGCTTCCATTGCTCATGTTTCATTAAAAAGAGCATGTCAACAACATGTGGAGGAACAGGAAAGCATACTTGTGATGGTACAGCATATCCCCTTTTACACATCTCGGTGTTTCATGAACATGTGTATGGTGAACATTGTATTACGATGGCTCCACAGCGTGTGCAAAACTGCACACAGGTGACAGTGCCATGAGTATAGAATTTTGTCATTGGTTACTTATTAATCGCCAATTCTCACTCATGGAGATGAGCTCTTCTTGAGAAGCTGCTAATTGTGCAGCCACTCAAGAACTTTCCAGCATGTTATGGAACATGGAGGTTCATTACCGTGTTCACAAGAACCCTCCACCGATCCCTATCCTGAGGCACATCAATCCAATTCATTCCATCCCATCCTATCTCTCTAAGATCTATTTCAATAATATCCACCCACCTCTGTCTTGGTCTTCCCAGTGGTCTCCTTCCTTCCAGCTTTCCCACCTATAACCTCTATGCATTCTTTATCTCCCCCATTTGTGCAACATGCCCTGCCCATGGGTACTGGGTACATTGCCTACATGTTTAATTGTTAAAACGTTTAGCTTTTACTTGTTTATATTAAAATCTCCAAGTAATTGTCATACTCTGTTTTATTTCATATTACATTCTATTAATCATTTTTATAGTTTTCAATGCAGCAATGATCCATAGCTGTGATATATTTTATTTTCTTGATTTTATTTTCTCTTCATTTTTATGGTGCATAACCTTAAATTTACTGTTATATTTTTTTGTTGCACTTTTGAAACAATTCTTTTTCACAACAAATTTTGTTATTACTAAAAAGGATAATGTTGTACCTCTGGTGATTATCATCTTTGCATAGTGTTCTTGCACAGGGTTCAAAATTTGAAGATTTGAGATACTTTATGTTGTTGTATACCTGCAAACATTGCTGCAGAGAAAATATGTAGGTATATAATATAATATATTATAAATATTGATTTACGATACTGTAAGACAGCACTGTTCTTAAAACTTAAATTCGTGGAAAGTCCATGCTTGTTCATGCTGCTTTTGAGTAGTTCCTTGTTTGGTGAAATTCACCACTATTGATTCAGGAGTTTAGTTACAACTGCAGGACAGAGCTTTAGAAACTTGTACTGCTGTAGAGCTTGACCACTCCTCTCATGGTGTTACAGGCACTGTTCAGCAGTTCTGCTACCAGTCATTCAGTAATTATTTTGTGATGTTTAGCATAGAATAGCTTGTCTTATCATTGTTGGTAATGCTACTCATACAAACCCTAACAGCATGAGTTCCTTATACTGCTTGTGACATCAACATTTGCCCTGATAAGTATTTTGCTCTGTTCGTGATTGTAAGATGACACCTCATTTGTCATATGGTAAATCAGAGGAAAATTGTTGTTTTGTCTCTGGTCAGCACTGCTTATGAACACAATGCCAGAAACTGTTTGAGTGTAATGAACATTTTTTGTTTCAGTCATTCAACAAAATCAGTTTTAGATTTTGTCAACAGTAGTGAGAATGCCATCTTTGTTGTGAACACAGTCCACTTGATCTCCCAGCTGGCAGATAATCTCATCATAGCATGCGGAGGTCTTTTGCCATTACTTGCTTCAGCCACATCACCAAATGTGAGTTACCATGTAGTAAATTTAAACTTTAGCAAATGTAGGAAACTAAAATATATATTCTTTGAATGGTTGACTGTAAGCACATAGGTGGAAGATATTTGGACAAAAAGGCATGAAGGTCTCAAGAGTTTCTGCATTAATAAAGTTAGCCTTTGTCACCTGTGAATATGGAATTTAAGTCCCTTGTTATTCTGGCAGGAGCAGCCAAATTACAATAGAACACCAATTATCTGAATTAATTATTGACAGACATGGTTCAGATTTTCGAAATTCATTTTATTTTTCTTTGAGTAATCCATAACAGTGATCATCACCTAGGATACAGAAGATGCCCACATACAATAAAATAAGATACAATAGTGGCCATACAACAAGCAGCCTTGTCAGTTGGTAATACAGTAATACAAAGACATTACACCCTATTCAGTAATACAATAATACATTAATATGATACATTATACACATACAATTGCAAAATAATATACAAATGTAAAATTAGTGTGTAAGTCAATATAAAAATGTGACCCAAACAGCAACATAAATGAAATTTGATTTCATTTATCAGACTACTTGAAGTATTCATTTATTGAGTAAAAAGATTCCTGTAAAAATATATTCTTAGTAACCACTTTAAACTTATTAACATCATATAGCAATTTCCTTATATCCCACGGCAAATGATTGAAAATCTTTATACCCAAAAAGTAAGGACCTTTCTTGCATTTGGACAAGTTAACCGAAGGCAAATACAAGTTAATGCTTTGTCTTGTATTTATTGTATATATCTCACTGCTAATTACAAATTTAGATGCATTTTTTGCTACCAGCAACAGCAAGGAGTACATGTATTGAGAATAAAAAGGTAAAATATTTAAACTACTAAAAAGTCCCCGACAAGATATTTTGGGGCTCACATTAACTCTTATAATTCTCTTCTGCGTTATAAAAACGTTTTTGCTATTAACAGCATTTCCCCAAATGGGAAGACCGTACATAATGACAGAGTGAACATACGAGGTGTGTTCAAAAAATGACGGGAATTTCCGTATTTTGNATACATAATGACAGAGTGAACATACGCAAAATATACCATCCTTAAATTCTCTATTGTTAAAAACAATTTGAGGGTTCTAATAGCAAAACAAGCAGAATTGACTGATATGTTGGGTTTTTGGACTTTATCCATCGTCCTGGTTTTTATTTGTTATCTTAAAAACCAGGACGATGGATAAAGTCCAAAAACCCAACATATCAGTCAATTCTGCTTGTTTTGCTATTAGAACCCTCAAATTGTTTTTAACAATAGAGAATTTAAGGATGNGTATCACTCCCAAGAAATCAATGCAGTGTGTGCTATTTATTTGCTTGTCCATGAACTTTAAAGTGGATTGGTCAGATTGGCTCATTTTCGCTTTAAAGTATATAAAATGAGTGTTTTTTTTTCAGATTCAATGTCAATGAGTTAGCCTGAAACCAATCCACTATCTTCCCAAAAACAGCCACAAGATTACTTTTAAGTTGCATAAGATCAGGAGAAGCAAGTATTAAAGAGCGCTTATAAAATACGGGGTTTTCCCTGTTGGAGATCTATAGATTGATATTATACAATAAGTAACAGACATTAAATATAGTTTGATGGCACACACTTCAAAATCATGCTCTTTGCAAAACTTATTCAGATCAATAGCTGTAAATGATAAGGATTTGTGTACATAAATACACACTCCTCCAGACTTGCTAGTACTTCTACAATACTTAGCTGCCAATCGGTATGGACTACAGCATAACATACTAATTTCTTGATCACGTAGGTGATGTTCAGATAAGCAAAGTACCTGGGGTATGCATCAAACCATATGCTTAACAGTTCATCAATTTTACGTTGTATTGACCTGATGTTTTGATGGTATTCAATGAAGGGTACCTTGTACTTAAGCTTATTACATTCGTTATTATTTGCAGAAACTTTGTTAAAAACTATTTTATTGTTTGGTCTATTTATTACTTTGTTTATGTTTAAGCTGACCATAAAAATCATCTGTTCTATTAACTGGTAGCTTCTTTCGTCTCATTGATATTCTATAGGCATTACGTTCGTTCAACTTACTGTTTTCCTCAGCCACATTTGATGTAGTCTTACTAGGTTCGTTACAAGTAACAGGGTGTATTATCTCTACTAAAACCGGTGGTTTGTTGTCCCAACCTAAACTAATGGGTGGTGTCTCCGTATGCTGGAACAAGTTCTTAATACTCAAAGCAAGCTGACTGCATATAATATCTTTGCCATATCCATTGTAATGAAGGCCGTGTCTGGTAAAATAGTCTCTATTTTGAGGACTTTCTAGAATAGTAACATGTTCATTCAATTTCATGTATTTCCACAATTTCTTGCTAAAATTGTTAATATCATCATTTATATATACATTAGATACTTGGTCATACCTCAGGGGTGGCGTTAGTAGTATAATATTTGTCTGACTATTCTTTTTAGGAAATTGAGTAATATGCCACAATTCCTTTACACAGTTATCACTAATCACATCACTCACTCACTGTACCAGCCATATTAGAATCGGCATATAAAAGTTTAGCTGCCTATTTTATCGAATTTAACCCAGATAACACTACCTGTAGATACTATTCTAAATATATACACTTAAGACAAGTACTAATGCCAGGCTCTTCATTAAAATACATAGTCTTTTCAGATCGATCCAGATACAAAGTATCAGCGCCCGCCATCTTACTCTTATTATGGATTAGTGGATTAAGCGTATCCATGAAGAACACTATTGTGATGCACTATTGTAATAGTAATAAAAAAACGACAGGTGAAACATGAAAATTTAATAAAGGTGATTATAAATTAAAACTTTCAAATGCTTTATTTGAAGAAGTCCAACAATGCTGTTTGTTTAGCAGACACATTCCTTGGTATCTGTTATTGAAGTAATCGACAATTTGGATAATCGGTGTTCTACTGTGTATGCTTGGGCGGGGATTTATCTTATAAACAGTTAACATTGCTGAGGCCTGCTAGACCTGTGCATCAACTGCCACAGTAATATGATGCACGGATGATGAAGTGTAATTTAAAGATCTGAATTGCACTTAAAATATTTAATAAAATTGGTTAAGTTATAAAAAATAATTGTCTCATATTATTTCAAAACTTAGATACAGGTGTGTTACACCTGTTGTCCAATAACTAAAGTGTTCCATCTTTCATCCCATAAGTTTCCATTCCTATAAAAATATCTAAAGGCCCTCAGGTGACCGCTGTTTGGCAACTGTAAAAGTCTACACAATCATGTCTAAAAGTAAGAATACAAATAATGAAAATTTGAATAGTTGTGAAATTGTTTCCAGAGTGAACTCGATGTGATAGAGCCTACACAAGGAATGCCCATCGAGGTTGCAGTTTCATTTCTGCAGCGCCTAGTGAATATGGCCGATGTCCTCATCTTTGCTAGTTCACTCAATTTTGGTGAATTAGAGGCTGAGAAGAACATGTCAAGTGGTGGTATTTTGCGTCAGTGTCTGCGACTGGTAAGCCCAAGTCTTATGGAACATGGTGAATGGAATTATGATTTTAAGATCTGCATACATATGGAGTACAGTTCTCATATCATTTACCAAGGTAATGAATATGCACAATGAACAGTGAAGTCCTCTCGGATGATGAGCTGTGTCAGTATGGATTTGGTTTCCAGTGTTTCAGAGTCACTATATGTTTGCAATATCAGGATTTGGTCTAGGTAGCCATGTGTGTGGAACACCCATTATTTTTTCTTTATCATGTAACAGTTTCATACCCAAGTCCCTTGCATTTAACAGATTATAGGTATGAAATGTTTGCAGTGTTGTGGTCTCTGTGTGTTTGCTTTAAAATGTTTTGTTATTTTGTATATTTATCATTGATAATTTTGGACAAAATTACGTTTTTAGAAAAGGGGATATAATGTTAATTAAATGGCGCTATTTAATTTGGGATGTGAGCTCCTGTGGTAAGGATTTTAATCTGGTGCAATTAAAATTAATATGGGCGATGACCAGTTCCTTCCACATATCCTTCCAACTTCATAATTTGCAATCATCCTTCCAGTCAGAGTTTGTTGCTGTTTTTCTTAGTTCCTCAAGGAAAATTTTCAGATTCTGGTACCTTCATATAGGCTATAATCAGTTCCTTTCACATCCTTCCCACTTCATCACTTGTAACATACACAGTTGAGAAATTGTTAAATTGTTAAACGGACCAATAGCTGCAACAAACTTGTACATGTACTTGTGTCTGATTTGAATTTCAGCCAATACAGAGATTCTTCATGGTTTTTTTCCAGTTATTCCAGGCAAACAATATAGAATCTTTGATATAGCTTCGTTCATTTCCTCTTTCATCCCTGAATTCACTATGCATAGTTTTCCTTATGCAGCATTCTTAGCTCATTAGATTTTTCAATTGACTTGAACCATCCAGCCACACCATGGCCCTGAGGTTGACTCAGCCCCTAGCACAAATGTGTACCAGGAGTCTTCCTGGGAGTAAAGGTCAGCTGACAACCTCACCGCCATCCATGAGCCGATTATCTAGAAAAATGTGGGAGCCTCAATGTCTCTCTACCTTGTGGGCCTCCATGATGTGTTAACAGCAATAGCTTTACCTTTTTTTGTTCCCTTGCAAAAAAAAAATATTAAATCTTTATGTGCATTAGCAAATATGTGATTGTATTTCCTTACATTTTTAACAAATCATCAGCATTTGTTTGTAAATGATAAGACTTAATTGTTTCTGTATTGTTTCTCTTGCTTCTGCTTTGTCATTTAAGTAATGAAATATGCCTTACTGTTATTAAGACTTACTGCCAACAGGTGTGCACTTGTGCTGTGCGTAATTGCCTTGAGTGCAAGGAGCGTAGCCGTCCATTCCCCACCCTCTCGCCACCTGCACTCAGCAGCAGTAACAACAGAGCAGCTCATCTGCAGTCACTGATCCGTGGTGTTCAGGCATCTCCAAAGGTACTTCATTATTTACTTATCCATTGCTCATATGAACTGTCATATTTAAATGTCTTATGAAGAGTTGCTCTTAGAAGTCTCTTATTTTAAAAATGTATGCTACATAAAATTGATAGATTTAAAATATATTTTCCATTAACTAATTGGGCTTTAGGTCTTTGGGTATAGGAAAATACACTGGGACTGTAGAATCTAGTTACTTTATAATGGTGACATAGTGACTTCCATCACTATTTGATCGTGAAGCATGCTCAGAGATGTTTTAGATTAATACAACCAAAAACTTAACATCATTACCATCTCTGAGGGATAACCAACATTATATTATAAACTCAGAAGATGGAATAGTTTCATAAACTAGTCCTTGATCCAGCCACACATCATATAATAGAGGACTGTTCCAGAAGTCTGTGGTGTTGGATTCAGTGATTCAGTATTGAGGGGCTGGGTTTCCCCATGCACCATGACTGATAATCTATTGTATGTCCCCCATTTTAATTTCTACAGTCTCCATCCCCTACCGGTACTGGTGCTCGCTATTAGCCCCTTTCTGCCAGCAAGGTTTCTACCCTCTACTTGGCAGTGGTATCTAATAGTTAGTCCCTTTCTGTCAGTGAGGTCATCCCTCCTCTGGCAGGGGTTCCTAGTCCCTTTCTGCCAGCAAGGTTTCTGCCCTCTACTTGGCAGTGGTATCNCGGGTTTTTCAACCCGCGTACCTTGAGTCATGAGGTGGGAACATTACCCCTAGACTACGTAGGCTGCTGTGGTGTTGGGTTAGTATAATGTTAATTGCTAAATTATTTTTTAAATACAGCAGTCAATTTTTGCCAAATCCTGTTGTAACTGCTGTTGACAGTACTGCAGTTGGGAACGGATACAGCATATTCATGTGCTATAAAGAACAGAGTACAAACATGTGCTATGCATTAATAATACAATGGCGATTAAGCAAGCATTAATTCTTGGCACTTATTTCCATTCTGAGTCAGAGTGATGGTTTTCTTGGTTTTCCTTAGTCCCTTTAGGTGAATATCAGCTTATTAGCTTGAAGTTGACCATGATGAAAGTTCTGGCCATACACACTCATTGGTGATTATTATTTCTGCACACATCTTGACACTGTATATCCCCATAATTGAAATAGCATCATTAAATGACCTTAGAATCACTCAATCTGCATTTTGCATTGTGCATCCTCTCAGAGGGTCTAATGTATCCTTAGTTACTAGGGACGTTCCGTAAATAATGCCTCCTATTTTTTTGTGTTAATATGTAACGTGTGAGCTGGATGTTGGTGGTGTTGTAGTAAAGGTTGAACCTTCCCGCCAATCTACTGTTAGTTTGGTTGTCGTGCGACAGATAGCGACAGCAGAGGAGTCTACCAAAATGGTGTCTGACATAGAAGTGCGTATTAAACACAGATGTGTTATTGAATTTCTCACTGCCGAACAAATTGTACCCACTGACATCCATCGACACTTGCTAAAGGTGTACAGAGACAATACAGTGGAAGTCAGCACAGTGAGGTGGTGGGTAATGCGTTTCAACAGTGGCGAAAGTGAAGTGCACGACAAGTCATGCCCTGGGCGTCCCTGCTCAGCTGCCACTCGTCACAATGAACAGCGCCTCATCCATACAGATAAGCAGATGACGACCAGAGACTGTCAATTCTGAACACTACAAAATGATGCTGACTAAGCTGAAAGCCCACATTTCCTGAGTCAGGCCAAAGAAGCAGACAACCTTTTGCTTGCAGCACAATAACGCTAAACCCCATACAAGTTTGGCGACCACTGCACACATTGCAAAGTTTGGCTGGACTGTTCTACCACATCCACCTTATAGCCCCGGTTTAGCACCTTCAGACGTCCATCTCTTTGGGCCTAAGAAAGATGGACTACTTGGGCAACACTTTCCAGACAATGGTGCTGTCATTGCAGCTGTAAGAAAGTGNATTATATACGGAACGCTGTAATACATGGAGAGCCAATGTATGCTGGAGACTGAATACTTCAGTTGTTCAGACACATATACAGTGCTTATGTAATTTGCTAATCATAGGTGCTTGTAACCAAGGTTCATATAACCACTGTTAATAATGGTGGACTACTATGTAGAAATAATGTAAAGTGAAAATCTGCAACATGGTAAATAAGAAGTAAGTTTGTAAATGAGAAGAGAAAATTAATCTGCCTCAAAATGATGGTATTGTTACATAATTAATATGTGAAAGCAGTAACTAAAAAAATGTGAAAGGTTTTCTTATGAAAATATTTTTTTGAAATTATGTTTCTTTTTAGCAGGCAGTGGGCACTGTCAAACAAATCGCTTCAACACCTCAGCCATTGCCAGCCACTTTGAAGTCGAAAAAAGGAATGCAGTATATTAAAAATGTAAAGCAGTAAGACATACTCACAACCTGTTGCCATTGACAGTCAAAATGTAATGAAATACATTTAAGTATATGTCCCTGATCATTCTTTATATAAACTTGGCTGAAATATAAGCAGAATAGCTGTTATTCCACAATTATTTTCAGAAATGTTTTTATTCCCACTGCCCTTCATTTTGTAGAGTGTTTGCTGATTTATTTGACTTTATTTCGAAATTAACCCTTTCAGTGCAGTAGTGTTGTGGGCTGTACATTCCCTTCACACCTTCATTTTGGTTAATAATATTTTGAATAAATTATATGCGGTAGCATAGTTGGTTGAGGCGCTCTGCTCCAAGCCAGTATGTTGTGGCTATGATTCCCGATGAGGTCATTGGATTTTTGAATTGACCTAATCCTTCCAGCGGCACTATGGCCCTTGGGGTCGACTCAGCCTCTAACCGAAATTAGTACCAGGAATCTTCCTGGTGCTTAAGAGGGCTGGTGCATAAGGCTGAAAACCTTACTGCCATCTGTGAGCCAATTTTCTAGAAAATGTGGGAGTCTAGTTGTCTCACAACCCGGAGGCCTTCACTGCCTGTTACAGGGATATCTTTATCAGCAACACGTCTCCAAGGTTGTGACAGAGACATCAATTCCTAGGCTGCGCATACAGAAATGTTACTGTTCACATGGCAACATACCATCCAAAGTAAAGCAATATCTAAGAACTCAGTATCTCTACTGTTGAAGGAAGTGACTTCTACACAGTTTGCCGGAAGTTTATAACAGGAGAGATGGCGAGACTGATTCATTCATTCAATATGAAATTACATAATTACGGAGCTCAAGAGAAGACTAGAGGCAAGACACCAGTGCCAGATACAGAAAACAGTGAGAGATTCATTATCCAGAAGGAGCCAAATGTGTGAACTGTTGTAAGCATGTGTAATTGTAGTAGGGACACCTAACAAATTTAATCACTCAAATCTAGAACTCGCAATATCAGTCACGCGTACCCCCTACATGTAACATTTTGGTGTCAGAAAGTGGTTGTGATAGTAAAGTCATGACAGTTTTGGTGTCAGAAATGGTCAGACTTTGAGCAATTGAACAGAATTCTTGGATTGAAGACTGAATTGCATAGTTACAGTGTCGTTCTATGAAAATGGAAGACATGGAATTCCTGAAAGTCATGCTGGTTGAAATTAATGACAACATGAAATCCAACCTGGAAAATGCAGAGGCCTATAGGAAGGCTGACTCTGAAGCTGTAAAGGAAATGAAAAAATTCAACCAGGAAAAGGCAGAGACCAGTAGGAAGACTGACTATGAAGCTCTAAAGGAAATGAAGAAATTCAACTGGAAGAGGCGGAGGCCAATAGGAGGCTGGCTGTGAAGCTCTAAAGGAAATGAAGAAATTCAACTGGAAGAGGCGGAGGCCAATAGGAGGCTGGCTGTGAAGCTCTAAAGGAAATGAAGAAATTCAACTGGAAGAGGCGGAGGCCAATAGGAGGCTGGCTGTGAAGCTCTAAAGGAAATGAAGAAATTCAACTGGAAGAGGCGGAGGCCAATAGGAGGCTGGCTGTGAAGCTCTAAGGAAATGATGGACACCAGCCTGGTGAAGGCGGATGATGATCTGAGAGAAATGAAAGAGGAGATAAGATCTGGCCAAGTGGAAATGAAATCCATAGTAAGCCGACATGAAGGCCTACCAAGAGACAATGGAGGCCAATCCAGAGAAAAGGGAGCCTGAAGCGGAACATCAGGAGGTCCCTAAGGAAGATGCCATAGTGAAAACAGTTGAAGGACAGAGGCAGCTGCATATTAACCGGAATCTGGCCATAGAGTGCTGCCAGAAGCTGAAGGAAAGGACCCTGGGAAATTGTTGATCTCAGAAGAAAGTGACCATTGCTGGCAGGAGGATGATCCACTGTGCAGGAGTGGCAAGGCTCCAGAGAAATGTCATCAGGAAAGATTGGACCAGGAAGCAGGTAGAACAAAGAACCCATAAAGGATGGACGTTCAGGAAGAAATGTCAGCTGAAACTGGAAAACATAAAGGAAATAATGATCCAAGGCTTAAAGAGCAACTATATCTGAGAAGTGAGAGGACATCTGGGAGAATATTTGGGAAGACCTTCAGATTGGAGAATGCAAAGCGAACAGCCAGATTTCTATCACAGTGCAAAAAAATCAAGAACTGAATGTTGTGGAAAGGTTGACCACCTCCAAAATGGTTGAAGAGCCTACTTGCATAGTTGGCATAAGAGAAGCCAGAGATATGGGTGCACCGGCAACTCTGGATAGTTTCACCCCCACAAATGGAATGACAAAAGGACAGTAAAGTGTTGATGTTGGACAAATGGATTATCTGTAACCTTAACAGGGTACCGCTTGGGGGAGCACACTTGAGGAGGGAACGGTGGTAGCGGTGGAAGAAAGAACACTGCCAGAGAAAAGAAAAAAAGCCAAGCCACAGGAAGGAAGGTGAGACCGATCACAGATGTTGCAAGCACAGCCCTCGGAAGAAAAGAAAAGTGATATGCTTAAGGAGGGAGCAATGTGACATGTAAATCCATTGGTAACTGCTTGTTGAAACACGTCTCAAAGTTATGACAGAGGCATTGATTCCCAGACAGCACATACAGGAATGTTTCCGTTCACACGGCAACAAACTGTTCAAAGTAAAGTAACTTCTGTGAATGCAATAACTATACTGCTGAAGAAGGTGACTTCTACATGGTTCACTGGAAGTTTATAACAAGAGAGTGTGTGAGACAGATTCATTCATTCAGTGCAGAATTACTTAATTATGGACCTCGAGAGAAGACAAGAGGTGAGACACCAGTGCAAGATCCAGACAGCAGTGAGAGATTTGTTATCTAGAAGGAGTTAAATATGTGAACTGTTGTAATTATAATAGAGATGCCTAATAAATCCATTCAGTGAGATCTAGACCTCACAATATCAGTCATGCATACCCCCCTACATGTGACAATATTCACATTTTTTTTTTGTAGGAAAGACTTTGTACAGTCTTTGGAACCTCTTTCAACAGACTTCTTATTGTGAATTTAGAGAATCAGGAGGCTTAACAATGTTAAACAGGTTTAAGTTTTAAGATAAATATATTGATTTGTCCCAAGCAACCACAAAACATAGAAACAAATACATATGAGTAGCATTCCGTATATAATTCCTCCTATTTTTGTTTAATGAAAACTACAACAGATACAGAAAGCATAATAACACAGTTAAATAGAGCAAGATCGCAGCTACTTACAGTAATTTTTCCACATAATCACCACCATTTGTTATTCACTTTTGCCAAGCGATGAACAAGAGCCTGTATGCGGTGCTAGTAAAAGTCTGCGCCAGCAGAGGCAAGCCACTTTGTTACAGCTGCAATGACAGCATCATTGTCTGGAAAATGTTTCCCATGTAGTCCATCTTTCATAGGCCCAAAGAGATGGAAGTCTGAAAGTGCTAAATCAGGGCTATAAGGTGGATGTGGTAGGACAGTCTAGCCAAACTTTGCAATGTGCACAGTGGTCACAAACTGGTATGGGGTCTAGTGTTATCATGTTGCAAGCGAAAGGTTGTCTGCTTATCTGGCCTGACTCGTGAAATGCAGGCTACCAGCTTAGTCAGCGTCGTCTTGTAGCGTTCAGAATTGACAGCCTCACCAGGCTCCAGGAAATCTAACAAAATTACACCCCACCTATCCCAAAAGGCCATGCACATCACTTTCCCTGCCGATGGCTGTGTCTTGAACTAATTTTTTCTTGGGGAATCCGGATGTCGCCACTCCATGGACTATCTTTTGGATTCTGGCTCATAGTGGTGACACCACGTCTCATCTCTGGTGACGATGCTGTCCAGAAACTTGTTACCTTCAGCCTCAAACTGGTGCAACAGGTCCTGACAGACTGCAACACCACCAACATCCAGCTCAGACGTTACAGATTAACACAAAAAATAGGAGGCATTATATATGGAGTGCCCTTCGTATATATGTATTTTTCACTGAAAGGGTTGACTTAAGATTTCTGTCTTTTTATGGTTTTCATTGTATTATCAGTAGTGTTAAATGCTATTTAAAATGTCCAGCAGTTTGATGTTGTTGTTTTGTATGTTGCAGAATATTGTGGAGAACTTAGTCAGTCAGTCAAGTCCTGTGAAAGATCCAGAGAAATTACTGCAAGACATGGATGTCAACAGATTGCGAGCCGTCATCTACAGGGATGTGGTGAGTGGGCATGTCTGTATTTTTTAGCAAAATGGTTAGCCATTATAAAGTGACAATAATGTTAACTGATGGATGTTTCAGAACCAAGTGTAGAAAGTGAAATTCTGGTTTGGTGTGCACAGAGTTCCTGCACATGTTCCTTATATACAATTGTTTTATTTTGTTAAATTTACAGCATATCATACAACATTTATAATATGATACGTCTTAATTGTTTATACAATTTATCATTATTTATATTTATCATATGCCTGATCTTGGTTAAGGAGGCAGTTCTGACACAATGTTGATATGAGATAGTACTGACAACCATGAAGTTTATCTGCTGACTATGTTTAGTTCATACTTGCCATACCAAGTTCCATCTAAAATCATTAATTAGTTTGAGAAGTGAAAAATGCAGGTAGATATATAGACATGATATCACTTTATGGACTGAGTGTAAATAATATGTGAAAACACATCTGAACTGAAGATATGTTATTTTAATGAACTGCCGAGTAAAAATATTACAGTTAAATAGGATGAGCTCACTTAATTCCGTGGTTGAACCTGAACACCATTCAAATTAAGGCTGATTATTTGATATAATCCTGACCTCCCATCCCCACAGCATGCTTTGTTAAGACCAATTTGAAGCATTTGCCAATCTCCCTACGTCACTATCCAGTTCTTGAAAGAGAGACAGGCAAACCCTCATCATCTCTGATTCTGTTGCTGGCATCACATTCCCAAGATGTATGTAAGGGTGTATAAATGAAAGCTGGAGAGAACAGACTGCTCACAGACCACCAGAGTACTATCCTAGACAAGTGTATTGTAACATTTAGTACTGTTGCTATGCAACGATCATGAGAAGGAATATGCATTGTTCGGTAATGGCGAGTAAACATGTCAACAGTATCTGAGCTGCTGCTAGGTAGCTGCCCAAAACAACAATAGAGGGATTGTTATAGGCGGCAGTTTCTTTTTTGGTCCACCCCGAGGCTATATAGCAAGAACCTCAGGCAGAGAGAGAGAGTTTAATGACTTATGCTAGTCCCACTTGGGAATTCATGGCAGTTACCCATTTAATGAAATTGCAGCGCCTACAAAACAAGGTTCTCCGCAACCTTCTCAATTTTCCAATGCGCACACCAGTTCACGATTTACACATGGCTTTCAAAAATCAATACGTATATGATTATATAACAAAATTATGCAGGCAACAAGCGGAAGTCGTACAAAATCATGATAACGAAAATGTTCGCAATATTGAACAAGGAGAAGCCCAACATAGAAAATATAAGAGGCTTAAACTTGGCGGCGGTCAACCACATGACCGTTCAAGTGACTAGACTGCCGTTGTAGTGGAAGCTACTAGAAATAGGGCATAATCTGCTGTACTGAGCCTGGACTGACAGAGGTGCTGTATATACATTGTATTTTATATACATTTATTAACATGCTTAACATGTAAAATGTAAATATCTTTTACATTGTGACAAATGACTTACTACTGCAGACAATGACTCTGACAAAAGACAGACACGTCCTCTCATCAGAGAGGGCACCCCATAAAAACAAGACTGAAACTGTCAAACAGTAATAAATATCTGGTCATAAGCCCCAGATTGGTCTTAACACCAAGACTGACTTACTGTCAGTCACAATGTGACTTTGACTTTGAGTGAGAGAGTTCAATTGAAAGTCAGCCTGTGAAGAGAAGACTAGTCAGTTAAGAAGAGTTCTGTATGGTAGGTTGTGAAGAAAAGAGTTGCAAGAGTGAGGCTGTGAAAAGAAGACTATATATGTGATATTTGAAGTGTGTAATTCAATGAGACTTTTAAAGTTCCTGTTTTAAAATCTGTTACCAGGAAACGGCTAGTAGAGATTGTAATAGACTGAGGATACTAGTCTGTATGTGTTAGTAGTCTGTAAAGTGTAGTTCCGAGTGGTGTGATACAAGTGGTCAGTAAATCCAATCTCTGATCTATACCCCATCTGTAGTCACATCCTTAAATCATATCAAAATATAAGGCTTAGAAGTTGCACCCTTATACCAGAGTAAGAAAGTGTCAGCAGTTGACAATAATATAAGGAACAACTATGTGAATGGGAAATAGGAGTATGTGCTCTTCAAGAGTGTCCAGCAACAATACATACACATACACAATGGAAATCAAACCCAAATTGGTTCATTCTCATAACACAACTACATGAACTGTCCAGCTACTGAAGATAGCTAGCACCTTTGAAAGTGCAATAGCAGGGACTCTTATGTCACTGTACTTATCATATTTGCTGCAAGTAAAGAGACATGAGAATGCCTTACATAGTTACAGCAAACTCAATTAAATCTCTGGACATGGTTCTAGAATTACATTTGTCATGGACAGACACAACATGCACAACCTGTCCTGTTCTATATCATGACTGACCCAAGATTTCCATATGTTACCGAACAACGTGGGTTACACAGCCTCCATATTCTGAGCAAAGCTCAAGTTTTAAGTCTTCCATGCTCGCTCAGCAACATAGCTAACCCAGGCTTCACAGTGACCTGACTCGCACTTTCCACATGTTCTAGAACAAGTAGTGGCATATATTATACATGTAATTAGGTGGAATTGGCAAAGCTTACCTCATGATATGCACCAAGAACAACATAACTTGTTTAATGAGCAAGAAACCAATAAATAATATACTCACATGAAAAGTGTTACTTAACCCAATTTTACATGTACTCAGTTCCCACAGAACAGCAGATCAGACACAGTTAAGCCTTGAAGAGTTTGGCAGCTTATGTTGTTCTAGAACTCTGCTTACCCAATGCAAGGGAAACTGGCATACCTTGGCACAAACAAAGTGAATGGCCATACTTCCTTATCGTGTGTCTGATAGCACTGTACAGTTACTTCCCCATCCTTCAAGCATGTCAAGATTACTCTGATTACTCTTTCATTTTATAATTGTATAAGTCATCCACTTATTTCAGGTTTCAGCTTTCAGTTAGTTTCAAATTTCCTGCATTGTTCTTGGTCACCTGTAGTTTATATGTTCCTCTTGAAGTAAGAGATTGCATTCCACAACAGCATCTGTCAGAATGAGTAGTGGATGTGTTCAGATAAATTACACAGTACCCATACTTGTTTGCACAGGAGGAGACCAAACAAGCACAATTCCTGGCCTTGGCCATTGTCTACTTCATCTCAGTATTGATGGTATCCAAGTATAGGGACATTTTGGAGCCCCCATTATCACCTCGGCCACCAAGTCCAGCAGCACCCACAACCACAACATTGCGTAGCAATGGAGGGTCACATCATAGAGGCAGCACAAACAGTCCATCAGGTAGGTTTGTTTTTGTGCTCATTGCTTTACTTGATTTTACTGACTGTATACATCTTGAAATTTCCTCATCCTTCACTTGCAGTAATGGTTGCCTCACATTCTTGCTCAAAGTGCAGAAATTGCTAATACTTTTCGTGTATGCAGGAAAAAACTCATTGTTTTAAGTAAGAATACCAAACAGTCTCTAGTAATTCTTCAGCTAGCCTTTTATTCAGTGTTGTAAGTCAGTCTGTTTCCTGTTTATTCTTACATTATAAATCCCTATGAAGTGTGAGTCTTCTAAGTTCTATATGTTATAACAACACTGTTGAAAATGTGTATAAACAGTTCTACAAATGGCACAGTAAAGCAATAAGATGTACTAAAAATTTTGGAATTCTGCCCATATCATATTTGCATGTACGTAAAACGTGATTAGATCATTATTATCCCTAAGTTCCCAAATGTGCAAGGGTTTTGTAATTCAAGTTAATTCATGAATAAGTAAGACCTATCAGAATTTTTATAAGAGAACAGTACAGTCAAGGGAACATGTTTAATTGTATAGCTTAATTTAATTATGTGTAATGTATTTTGTTTAATCTGTAAAGTATTGCATTTCTTTTACTCTTTTTATACTCAGGACATTTAATCTTCATTCTAAAAATGGGTAAATTTTATTTTAAGTTACAAACTCTGAGGGTGAACTTATGTAACAAGAGGTCAATTATCTGTGTTGCAATAAATGATGTTCCACATGTGCTTTGTAATGGTAAAGGAGCTTTTACGAGAGATTGGGAAAAGTTTATGTGAAAATTTATGAGAATTGTGTTAGCATTTATTAATATAGGTTCTGGATCTGAGTCTTTGATGTCATCTGTCAAAAAAGCTCTTGGAATATATGTCATTTTCAGATAGTGATCTTTTTACATCATCATTTGAAACCTGCTAGAATCACGCATAGTCATGAAGTGGTTTTTTAGGTTACTCTCTTAGCATTTTCCTGGTAGGTTTAAGTAGAGCCAGGAAAATCCTTAGTGAAGATAACAAAGCACTATATAGTTACAATATCTATCAGTGTCTCATCAGAATCATGGGACAGGATTTCATTACATATTGTGTTCATCATTTATCCGGTCTATTTGCTGAACTCAATTTCTATACTAAACAAGATTGAAAGAATGCTTAATTTGTAGTAAATGTATTTTGCAAATATAAGATTTTAAGCTTTCACAACAGATAAATGAACTGAACTCATCTCGGGCTGTCAGCAATGTCACTATCAAGTTAAAAATCAGTGCTTCGGACATCTTCAGCTCCATAATTCGGGTCAAAGCGGTGATTAACCATACATCACTGACATGCCTCCTGCTGCTAGTGCCCTACTTGAGGGTGGAGTCAGTTGCCTGTCCAGTTCTACACAATGTCTGTCCACTAATTTTTGTCCTCTGTTCTTTGGCCTGCCCTTCTAGACATTTGTCCCCTAGATGTTTTCTAATCTATATATGTCAGAGAACTTTAACAGCCTGGTGGTGGGATTGTGTGTGTTGCTAAGTTTGAACCCTTCCTCTCTGTTAACAGTGTTACAGTGTATTATTATTTCCGTTGCCTGTTTTGACTAGTTGCTCCATGTAGCATGATATTGGCCAGTACCTTGGTCTCCTGGAACTTGATCAGACCACTGGATCAAGTTCCAGTTGAAACTGTTCAACAAATGAGGGCTCCAAATCTCGCTATGGTGTATAGGCTCTTGGTTTGTTTTATATCCTGAGTTGACATGGGGATCAGCTTCACTGCCTGAATGATATGTGGGTAGCTCTCATATGGCCAGACTGTTGTGTCCAATAAAATTGACTATAAACATTTAGTTACAAAGGATGTAGAAGGAAGTGGTTGTAGCATGTTTGAGGTCTGAGAATTTTCCTGAATGATTGACAAAATCTACAAACAAACTCAAGATAGCTGTACCCCAACGGAGATTGAAGTGGATATCTCGCAAGCATAAAGATTGAACGGTATGATCATTATACTGCAGTGTTCACACTGACTAGTTGATAGGTGGCTAAGTAGATTCTTTTATATTCGAGCATTTTGGGGGAAGTATTTATTACTTCCAGTATTTTAAGTGAACATTTTTATTGCTTGTGTAAAGAATTGACTTACAACACTTACTCTTAACAAGAAAGAATACAGATCAGTAAGCTAGGATGAATGCAAAACAGATGTACATTTAATATGCAAAGCAGTTACTGTACTTTGACATCTGAGCAAAATAAAAAGGAAGCAATGTACATTAGTTTGTGAATGATGTTGGTATTCATTCAAACACACTTATTTTTAGCATGTTATGATTGTTTTCTGTTTTGGATATCTCTTCATGTACTATCTGAAGATCACAGAGGATTAATATGTCTTCTTGATACATATATAAACATAAAAGGAAAGATAAAATTAATTCAGCACTTAATTAATTACACACTTTGTCATGAAGATGTATGGGGGAGTGGAGGAATAGCTCTATCATTCTTTACTTGAAACTAGGTTATGGTGAGTGATTATCTTTATGCCTGCCACTTTGCTCCACAGTTCTCATGGAGAGAAGAAAAATCTCTTGCCTTTGCAAGGAATCAAGATTTGATTCCGTGGTCATCCAGCCCATAACCTAGTTGCCATACCAACTAATGTAACATCTTCTTCATATGTAATTTTGATAGAATATATTTCAGAAGGCAAGGTTCTCAGATGGTAAGGCTTTATGAATGGAAGAGTTTGAATACTTTGCCATTCCTAATCCTTTTCTAAGTTGTTCTTCTAGTACATTTACTGTGTGTGTGTATGTATGTACATATTTTATATATATATAATATGGCATGCTGCCAAAAAACCAGGTGACAAGACATCCATTGATTGGTAGTGGCTGCTAGAAGAATGTATACTTCAGTGGAAACGCAATACCAGCAGCCCGTTGCATAGGAATAGCATAAATAACAAATGTGTTTCCCCAGAAATGAAAGGATATCCATGGAAACAATTACTACCAGCAGATAAAACAGAACCCTTGAGCACGATGTTCACTAGTCAGTCTGAGTGCACGTTATAAAAATCCAGCTTCAACACAACCTATGAGTTTTTAGTGTAGCTCCAACTAGGGCAGAAGCAAGCTCGCATCTGACAAAGGACATAAGACACTTCACTAAGATCAGCGGTGCAAGTAACTGTGATACTGAAGTTGTGAGTAATTGTACTTGCAAGTGTAGAAGAGATTGTCCAATAAACGACTTAGCCAAATCTGAAACCCACGTGAATTTACTTGTCACGTTACGTAGGCAATATGTGACAATATATATGTTAATTTGAAAATTTTTGCTGGGATAGATGAACACACATACTAAATGTACCTCAGACAAAAATAATGAACCCAGTGTCACTATTAGAAATACTGAATTGGCCTATAATTGGATTGTATGCCTGGCTTTTAGTTAACAAAGCCTATACTTCATGTTCTAATGAGTTAGTCAGTTAGTGTCAGTGATATTGAGTAAATAAGAAAGAGCTTGGGAACAAATTAAGCCACTAAAGAGATAGAACTTTTCTTCTTGTTTCTATATATTGATCTCCAAATAATGAAGAGCCTGCATGAATATACATGTGAAACTTATCTCTTTGTGACTTACTTTTGGTTTACTTTCATGCTTTAACGTACTTCAGATATTTTGTGAACACGAAAATTAATGCGGGATTTGAGGTTTGCACAGAAGGTGGTTATAAAGCATTTTGTCTTATGTGATATAACTCGCTGTAGTCCATTGGAAATCAGTCACTGTTTCATAGGAATACAGGGTGTCCCAGGAGGAATGTGCCAAACTTCGGGAGGATGTTCCTTATGTTAAAGTATGCTGATATAACCCAAAACACCTATGTCCAAAGTTGAACGGTTATGGAGATAATGGCCCGAGAAAAGTGTGGTCTTCTGGCGGGTCCATGCACTGTACCTGTCAGCTGAGACGTCTTATCTATGTTTGTCCTTGAGTGTGGTGATTCACACTAGCCATAAGCTCATGTGCTATGTACAGAGTATGTTGCGGCCACGTCGTGAATGGTTGGTAATTAGTTGTGCGGGGGTGCTG